ACGAATTCAGCGAAGAAAATGGTTTCGCGCTATTTAAGAGGAAGCCCCGCGGCGGCTAAAAGGAGAACCGTCTAGTGTAGCCGATGAACCACTCGATGGGACGAAAACGACGCGCAAAAAGGTCGACCAGCGGACAATCGATCGGGCGATTTTCCAAATAAATCGTGTAATGGGCTAACGCAAAGAGAACGAGTTTCAGATGTTTCAGATCTACAATCTCTAATCCTAATCGATTTCAAGCGACAAAGTGTACCACATTTCGTCTCGTTGCTAGTCGAAAAACCAAGTGTGCCCAGGCACGAATTCGCATAGATCGATTCCACCCTTTCCTTGGCCCAGCGACATCAAACAGACTTCTTTCGCAATTATCAATACCTTGGGGTCGTTTTCGACGTGACCTCTTTCCTCGCGAGACAAAATCGTGGACACAAAATTTATCAAACCATTCCCGCGTTACAAATTCCTAATTCCCTTATGGTCAAACTATAATGCAGTTTGCATAATCTTCGTTTTTATATGTTATACCGCAAGAAACTGAATTATGTACATTGTATATGCTATAGTTTACAAGGCATTACTCATCGACGTGAATCATCCCGTTTAAAACCAGACTAAACGCATTAAAATTACGCGGACACGATCGATTGTGTAACGATTCTTTCAGATTCCAGCATTGTGTTTCGAGAGATCCAACGAAGATTCTAAACGTCCTGTTGGTTTTATCGTAAGCTCCGATTCGAGCGCGAAATCGAACGGCGACAATACATAATGCGACTTTGTCCACACGGATTTCACCTCGAGGTTGTTGGCCCCTGATCAGGCGATCACCGCTCGCCGGACATTATACCGATGTTCGGCGGGTGATAGGCTGATAGGCCGCGATTCCACGTTTCCTGCGCGGCGCTTGAATCTCTTTCTGGCTTGCCTCGTTTTTAGTAAACGCGTTGCGTCATCCCCGGAATCGATTAACGGTCGTACTTACGCGACCGTCACGTAGACTATTCAAAGTGATCTTAACCGCGAACGAACGATTTGCCCATCGAGCTTTCGCTTCAATTCATAGCCGAACGTTCCTGCTCCCCCGTTCCCTTTGTCGTGTTCGTCCTTACGCGAAACATTATACGCGATGTGTAGTCTATGAATCGCAAAGCATCGATAGTTTTCCATTCCCTGTTCTTCCGTGTAACACGCGTTCTTAAAGTATACGCTGTTCTATGCTCTGTCCGCGAGATATCGCGCGGATCTTCGGTTTAACGTTGAAATATTCATTCGGTGTCGTATTCGCAGCGCGTTCCGACTGTTCGTTCAACGTGAAAAAACAAAATGGTAGAAAGCTAGTGTCATTGTTACGAACAGCAATCGTCGATCGTACAGAAACGTGCTATTTTTTTGTTGTTATTGCAAGATAAAATATCCAACAGCGCGTTGGACAGCCGTTCTGGAAAACCTCTTAGCAGGCGTAAGGCTAGGTATACATATATTACATATGTATTCAGTTTGAACCCTCGTGTTGGGTATTCGTCGCCGAACAGCAGGAGAGTGGCATATAAATATGTCCGCCTTCTCCAAGTTTGGATGCGACAGCCTGGTTGGTCGAATCGGTTCGCGCCTTGACGAGTCGATGAGATTTACAACCCCAACCTATTCCCAGCAACCTTTCTCGAATGTAATGTTTTACAGTTCATCGGTCGCCTTCCAAGGGACAAAAAGGATGGATAAATATGTATATCTAGCTAAGGGTACGCGCATTCGAAGTCATATGGTAACCAGGTGTTTTTTCGTAGGAACCTTATTCAACGAGCGGTATAGAAAAATAATTATTTCGCAGAGGCACTTTTACGAGCGTGACAACGGATTCCTATGTTTTCGCTTTAAACAGATGTAAGACGACCGATTTAATGGTTTTATTCGTTTCTCGGATAGAATGACGTGCTAACGGTGCAGTTTTTATGCCTACAGTTTCCTTCGTCTTGATTACCATGCTGCTGCGCTATTCTCTGCGATACGATTCACGTGTTCAAATTGCATCAAACTGCATGTATAGATTGACACGGATTGTGCTCTAGTTTCGAAGGTGTTTTCTGTACATAATTGTTCAGAGGGACTGAACCTTTTCCGAAACAATTGGAGACGGCCGTACACGGTGGAAACTGTGATCTGACATTCGAAAATTCTTTGACTTGGCCATAACAGTTATCGATAGTTGGCAAGAGAACCTGAAGCGACGGTATTCTGACCATCCGCAATGTTTCCTCGGTTGACGTGCAATCTGCTTACTCGCTCTTTTCCACGTCCACCTCCGCCTGCCTTCCTTCTCTCCTATCCTCTCGAGAATAACAACCGCGAGCAACGTGCTAGCTGTCCGTGTACACGAGTATGTAAGCATAGTTGCTTACATACCCACAGCTATGACTGCAATCTACGAGAGTAAGATAGTTGCAGGACGCGTGCCTTCGCGTATGGAACTCCGCTCGTCGACACTCGTCGACTTCCCGATCACCTCTCAAGAACCCTATAACATAACTTCGCATTCCATCATCCCCATTCTTCTGCGTGTTCGTTAATATGTATCGCTTTTTATTCTTCCACCACGTAATATCCAAATGATGCAATTGCTTCTGAAAAATGATAACGCAGTTTCCGTAAATATCCAAGCCACGACGTTTTATAGTTTGACGTGTTCACTCGCATTGTATTTACATATGTTTGTTTTATTTGCATGTATGTATGTATTTATGTATGGACGTCGCGCGTGACAGTTGCTGCGCGTCGCAAAACGTTTTCGAAAAATAGCATTGCGACTGCGCGGCGGACCTACAGTATATGCCCTCTACCTCACGTACAGTACCGTATAAATTGACTCTCGATCGAGTCGAATTACAGAAATAGGGATATACAAACAACTGCTTCCAACATGGACGCGACCCGTACTTTTTACATCCGAGCCTTCCGAGGAAATAGTATACACCTACGAAATAAATCATACGACCTTTGCGCGCGTTACCGATTAGCCAAACCTGGCGACTTTGAACGTGTAGATAACAGCGTATACGTATACATACATACATACATACATACATACATACATACATACGCATATGTATATATGTATGTATTCATTGTTAATAACTCTTTTTACACGTCTTTCTTTTTCTTACGGTGAACAAGTTGATTTTCATTTGTTTCTCGTCAAACAAAATTACGCAATTTCGAAAACGGTTATACATATACATTATACACATGTACAATGTACATCTCTACGGAATTTGTGGCTGGTATATGTATAGAACCTGGTCGTTGCCGTTTTCATTCGTACGGGTCTGTATTCCGTACCTAAATACTAGTTGATGCGTTGCAACGATGATGCTTTAACGTCATCTCTATTTAATATGTTGGCAATAATTCCCAAATACGCAATATGTGTGTAATTTACGAAATTCAACTAAAATGTTTCAAGGCAACTTGAAACCCGCGTATATGTATACATCTTATTCCTATCTACATACACGTTACATACATATACGGATAATAGGATCGGTTAGTGGACCATAACATGGTAAATGTTTGAAATAATCTTGATTGTACTGTGAAAATGCATTATCGAAATTCAGTACTTGGTACGAGATCATGCGTTATTACACATATCTCTCATTTTCATCGAATGAAAGTCCGCGACTACGAAAAATACGTACATCTTTAAACTGTTTACAGTGTTTTGCAATCTTATTCGAATATTCCACGAAGAAGCATCTAGCCACGTAGAAAAAGTTAATTGTTAAAGGAACGTTCAAAACAAGACTATCGAGAATAACAACGGCACCAACAACGAACGAGACGTCTCGTAGATCACTACACCATGGCGTACGTGCCGAGGCACAGGTATTCAGCCCTGACCGACTTTCGTGTCTTCGACCGACGCGGATTCTACCACGTTCCTTCCCCAACCGTCCATCGTCGTCTCTTTTCTTCTCTCCTTACTCTGTAACTAAGCGACTTTTAACTTACAGACATAACGTATTCTCTTTAATTTTGCGTTTCTTTAAAAAAAAAACTCTTAATTAAAAAGCGAGATTAATTATCGATAGTTCGTCGTCGAATATTAAAAGTGCATTCGAGAGTGTGTGTACTGTGTATAATGTTCGAGCATTTATTGATTCGTTAACAATTTTCTATGTATCGAATACGTCGATTATGTTGATGCTGAACAAAAGGAGCTTGTTGGTGGTTCGAACGAATCTAAGTTCTTTCAAAATCATAGGATTTATTTTAACACTCCATCGGGCGACGACATTCTACGCAGACTATAGTCTACAGCTGGCAACTCTCCGCTGTACAACTGCTGCGTATAGCTAGCATCAGCACTTTTCATTTTACGGAAAAATATTACAAATGTATTATTATACGTATATTTATAATAGCGTATACTATTAAACATTTGTAATAAAGTTCAGAAAGCTTGTCGCGTCAGTGTTTAAGAAAATTTAACTGCAGACAGACCGTTCATAAATTCTGAAACATCTACCTATTTTCACTATTTTTAGACTACCGACCGTTCACGGTAGTTTTCACAACTAATTTTAGTCGACTTCCCGATAGTATGTTAATATCTATTGCTTTACTTGGCTTTACTTTACATGGTGTCTTTCGTTTAATATGGACAGACTGCACACGTATGTACAATGTGTATACATATATTTTTTTGTTTCATCGTAGAGAGTATAGAATATAAACAATAAAGTATGTTATCTAATACTACATTATCGATAGTCTCGAATCGTTCGATATGAAAGAACACCAAGCACGTGTATGACTGTACCCGTGTATACATATATATATACACACACATATGTATATAAATACAAACATTCTTGAGAGGTTATGTGCAAGCGGAAAAGCGGCAGTTTTGGAGATAATATATTTTTGTATAGTCCTCAACAAAGCAGAGCAGATACGATACCTAATTTCACGGAACGATGTTTGCTCAGGATCCTTTATTGAATCTTACATATGAAATTGGTTCTTACGATCTGTTGCACTTTTTTGGACGTTAGATGGTTATGTTTTTATGGAATATTGTTATTATCGTCGTACCGTAATCATTATTACATCGCACATCATGTATATTTCCAGAGTTAGGAGTTGTTTGTCACATGTGAAGGCTCGCAGTATTTTATGCAGTTCAAGATTATATTATTCGCAGCAAACAGTTTTGAATGAAAGTGATTCCTATAAGGTAGATCCAAAGGTTCTAGCGTTACGAGAGAAATTGTTATATTGTGATCACCTAGATTTGCAAAATCTACGACTGGGATATACAAAACGTAAACAATTGCAAAAGAAACAACAAATATATACACAATCGAAGATGCAACAGAAGCTATTTCATGAACCTGTGTTCAGCGTGATGTGGGATGAAAAGAACAAAAGCAGTTCAATTGAAACAGAAACCGATAATGATATAGAGGTAGAATTGAAAGAACAAAAACCTGTGCATATGCCATATTCCAGAATAGATACCTATGAAGCCGTTGACGTCTTACCAGAAAAGATAAAAGAGAAAACACATGTATTGTTAAACCAAAGATACAAGGATTTATATGAAAAACATTTGGCGTTAGAGGCTTGTTCCAAGATCAAAAGCAAACGAAATTTGAAAGAACTTATGAAAGATGAAAACATCAAAACATTACCAAAGGGAGAATTGTGGAAAGTTCCACCAACTTGGATGTCAGATTTTGAACAGTTCAACGAGACTGAAACCGATAGAGACTGGTATAAGAATTATGGAACTCCAGATCCATTATCTACAGTCAGTTCCATACCTTGCGGTGGATGTGGAGCGTTGTTACATTGTAAAGATCCGGCAATTCCTGGATATCTACCATCCGAATTGTTTTCACATTGCAAACAGAACGAGTTAAAACTTACAGTTTGTCAAAGATGTCATTTTCTAAAATTTTATAATGCCGCGTTAGAAGTAAAAGTGTCTGTAGAAGATTATCCAAAGCTTTTGAGTACTATAAAAAGGAAGAAATGCGCAGTTCTCTTGATGGTGGATTTGACCGACTTTCCCGGTAGTATATGGCCAAATTTAAAAAGCGTTTTGCATCCTTTCACACCGATTTTTCTGGTCGGGAATAAAGTCGACTTACTTCCTCGAGATTGCCCGACTTTCTTCGACAATGTCAAACAGCAGCTATTAAATACCGTGCTCGATGTAACCGGCATAAATACGGCGAACGTGACGCATGTTGCGCTTGCATCAGCCAAGACTGGTTACGGCGTAGAGGAGCTGATAAATAAATTGCAACGCAAGTGGCGGTACAAAGGTACGTAATTTGTATTTTCTTCTAATCTGTCTTTATCTGGATCGTTTGAATATTGTTGTAATTCTAGGAGATGTTTATTTGGTTGGATGTACAAATGTTGGAAAGAGCTCAATGTTCAACGCTTTGCTCAAGTCAGATTATTGTAAGATACAAGCTGTAGATCTGATACAACGCGCCACGATATCACCTTGGCCAGGAACGACGCTGAATTTATTGAAATTTCCCATTTTGAATCCGCAGCCACAGAAACTTATGCTTCGAGCACGAAGACTTAAGCAGGAACAAAGTTTTAGTATTGACGAGAAGAAAAAAGGAGAATTACTGTTCAAAAAGACGGGGAAGATTAAATTTGCTACGTTGCAGGGTATAATAAATTATGTGTATCTTATGGCGTTCGACCGATTCGTGATGTACGCTCATTAAAAGTTTGTTACGTATATGTTGGGTAGGATATATAGGTAGAACGTTTACCGAAAGAACGATGGAGAATGCGCCGATTGATCCTTTCTCAGAAAAGTCGCACAAATTCATGGACGGTAAGCTCGGTTTCGACGAGTCTCAACTGGAATACGCAGAAAGTCGTTGGTGCTACGACACACCGGGTACTATACAGCGGGATCAAACACTAGATTTGTTAACAACGGACGAATTGTTGTTAACGTTACCCCAGGAAACAATCGTGCCGAGAACATTCATTTTTAGGCCGAAAGAAACGGTATTCGTGGCCGGTATGGGACGACTGGATTTTTTGGAGGGAGACCTATATATTCGGTATGCAATGTATATCGATATATTTCGAGAGACTCGAAAACCGGGGACTGCATTTCTTTGTTAGAAGCGTAAACGTGCATTTGGGTATCGAGTTGACATAGGGGCTGGTTTGTTCTGGAACAGGTGTACATTGTTCACGAGCAAAGAACTGCCTATAACGATGTGTTACACGAACGACGCGGACGAGATTTACGAACAGCTGTTGCAAACCGAAGCGTTCGTCGTACCGTCCAACGATCCCGAACGATTAAAAGTATGGCCAAAATTGGAGGGAATGGAAATGAAGTTGACTGGTATCAGTAGACACGAATCCGTCGCCGATGTTGTATTATCGAGTATAGGTAATCTGCAATATGGATATTTTTTCGTGGGGAAGGAAAGGATGTGTAACGTGTCGTATTCAATTATCTTTAGGTTGGATCGCAATCACGCCGCACGAAAACCAAAATATTGCGTTGAAGGCGTGGACGCCGCAGGCTCGAGGTTTATATCTGAGGACTCCGGCGTTGCTCAAGAAAAGCGTAATGCATCGCGGGATCAAGACAGCAGGAACTCCTCTGTATTCGTTGGGAAAGAAGATGTACGTTAAATAAAACGGTTTCTGTTCTTTGTTACGTATGCTGCGAAGTGTACGCAAGTGTGTGCGGGTTTTCCGTGCGTTACACCGATTTATTGGTACGTTTCATGCTGCTATTACAGTTACCTGTCATGGGCGAAACAACGGAAACGTTGATTTTCATGGTGTCATTTGGCATGGAAATCGCGATCGCGACGGTAATCGTTTTCAACCAGAAACACTTTTACTAGTTCAGTGTTGGTCGTTGTCGTTGGTTTCGCGGGCTCGAAGTTTCGCTTGTTTGTACATTTGTTTGTAAAATCTTTCCAAGTTTTTGTAGAAGCCTTGTTGCGCGTCACGATGATCTTGCGCGGCGAAGGTATCGTATTCTGAAATACTAAAATTCACCATTGTATGTGTCGATTGGGCTTTCGGTTTCTCAGTTTGTTGATATTGCATTTTACTTGATGCGAATTCACGGACGCTTCGACGAAACTAACTACTCGTTCTCTCCGCGATCCTCACCAGGTCGACGGAGCCTACCTTTTTCCCGCAGGTATCGGGCCTTTGTGCGTGTTCTGAGAGAAAAGATTGGGCGATAACGTTTCTGTGAAACTATAGCCTCGCGAACATTGTGAAACTTACGCGAGCGTTGGAGCATCGTTCGACTCGTTATAGCCGCGATCGTGGCCGTAACAGTCGTAAGGTTCCGAGGACACGGAATCGTTCGAGCTGCGTTCGCTTTCGGCAGTTCTTGATAGGACGCGATCGCAGTCGCAGAAGAAATAACACTTGTATCTTGAACAGATCGGACAGTTGTCGAAAATGCCTGTGTTTTTACACATAGCGGAAGTGGTACAATCGTTTTCCGACTTGACGCGATGATCACGTACACATTTCGGCTGTTCTCGTGTTGCACGATGATACTGGCCGATTCGAGGCTGTTCGCTCGACTCGCATCGGTATTTCGAGCTGAAAATATTTATGACCGATAGAGGATGTCGTTCATGATCGGACGATTTTACTTGACTCGGGACCTCGTATTCCCGTTCGGTGCTTACGGTCGAGAACTCTGAACGCGTGGTTTTGCTCGGCTATGGCAGACTCTTCTCTGTCTGATGATACCTTTCGTGGGTCGCTTTCTGTGAGCACACGGCTGCTGTGTATACTAAAAGAGAACGAAACGCTCGTAATTATTCGGATCTCCGAGTGTCGTGTTGAGAAAGTAACGTCGTGTGTTTACCATGGAATCGTTCTTTTTCTCATCGACGTCGTACGTTTTCTTCGTATGGCCGTCGCAAATACCCAGTACTTCTTCTATCACGGTTCTCGTCGAGATTTCGATTTTGGGCGCTATGATACCCTATGAATTGAGCAAACGTGTATACGGTATCATCGATTAACGGAAAAAATGAAATTTCAAACGCAATATAGAGAAATAGAGAAATAGAGAAATCCGAGATAAGCAGGAGAGAAAGAAGCAAGGAGAAAGCAACCAACCGGTGATAGCGCTAGCGGATAAATGGAGGCGAGCGTGCTCGGCAGGGATAGCGATTGCGGACATACGTATCGAAGGGCTAATGGTATTGCGGATCGTTAAGAGCTCGTTTCGAACGGATCCTCGGGCACATCGATCGTCGAGACTTCGGCGGGTACTAACGGGAAAGCGTTTCGTCGGATCCATCAACAGGTCTACGGTTATTCCGGCCAACGAATGTTTGTAGGGAAGCACCGGGAACAGCACGTCCGCCAAATTCGTTTCGAAGGTGGCCAATACGATGGTCCGGTTGCACGGACCGAGCCATTGTATAAGTTCCGCGTAGAGAAACTCCTGCTCCAATTTCCGTTGCAATTCTGTCAAAGCAGCCAGCCGTGTGAAAGTTTTCTTAAACTTAAACTCGTTGTGAAATAATAGTGGTAAAATCGGTGATACTCTGTGAGATTCTAGGGTGGAACCGAGACTAGTTATTCGGAGGGCCACTTTGCCGTTAGGGCACAACCATACCCCAGGACAGGTTACCTGAAACAGTCCCCGTATCGAAACTTGTTCAAGCTCGATCAAGATCGATCGAACGATGGACCGACCATCGATGACAGATTGGCAATGATAATACTTACGGCGTGCAATTCCAGTCGCACCTTTACGCGGAAGCCTTTTCCCGCCATCGTAGTGACCGATGGCTATTGCGTCGCGTCGCGTCACCATCGATTCTCGGCCGTTATCATACTCTTTTTTTTTTTCCTTGGTTTATTCGCGAGTAAGTAGCAGAATTCTTGAATCGTCGTTCGGACTAACGCGAAGTCACAGGTGCGGGGTATGTTGCTCCGAATCCGAATTCTCGCCGGACAGTCGTGTTTTTCCCTCGATGAACAACGCGAACGTTGTGCCGCGTCCGTCTCGAGCCGGGACTAGCGACACGGTCGTTGCCAGGTAACGGCAACCGCACAACATCGATATTGAATTTTGCCGACAATCGAATGGTCCTTTTGCTCTGTTGTACTTATATCACGATACGCGACGCGACGAATCGTTGATAGAAAGCTTAAACTTTGAACGGTATCCCGGTAAATTTCTCGACAGGCAAACCCCGCTGAACGAAACGAATTTCGAGTTCGTTCGCGACAAAATCCGTCTTTGTTCTGGGGAAGCGCAATCTCGGATCGTTCGTCGGTGACGTCGAGGTATCCACGAACCAGCCGTATCTACGGACAAACGAATCGAAGATGTTCTCTAGGTAGTAATCTTGTGTAGTAATCTGGAATTGCTTGGATCGTACCGGCCGTTGACCGTTGGCGGGTCGAACGGATAAACGTCCTTTGGTGGAAAACCGGCGCGTCTCGTGATCAAGTCGACGTATTCCTGACGGACCTTCGACGGCGATATGACGTCGTGTTTCGCGTAAAATTTGCCGGTAAGAGGTTGCGTTCGACCGATCGCCACGAACTCTTCTTGCAGTTGCAGGTGTTTCTTCTCTTTTTCGTATCGCTCGGTGTAGAATCGCAATTTGACGGGATTCATCGTGTCGAAGGTCGAAGGAAACGGACAATGAAGATGGTGGAAATATTGGCCGAGCTCGGAAATCGAAGCGCGGTCGCGGATCGGAGACTCGCTCTCGGCAAAGAGCCGCGCGAAAAACTGAGCATCGAACGGGAGGGGTGTTTGTTGATTCGACGAAGGAATCGAGTCGCGTCGAATATCGATGATATTTATTTAACGATACATAAGTATATGAATAGAAAACGCATTACACAACAAGCGGAAAACCGTGGCCGATCAGTCATAGGTTTCCAAGCAGGGGTCGAGAGGACGTCTGGGCATCCTCTCCACCTCGCGATCGCGGTCGCAAAAACGCGTGCGTCCGTTCGAATCCGCGCGGGAACGAGTTTAACACGGAACTCGCTGGGTCGCGAGAGCAAATCGTTCGTGCGAACAACTCGAAGCCTCGAGAAACTATCGGCGAAAACCACGCAAGCATTGCAGCGGCGCGGGAATTTCGGTGCCCTCGGTCGGTGCAAACGGGCGGTACCCTGAACTGCCAATATCCTTCACTTGTATGTCTATTATAAATACTGGAGCCAAGATCGTGGCACGAAGTTTGTCGCGGTGACGAGGAGACCGGTATCGGTCGGGACGCCGCGTATACACTTACTCGCGTCTCTTGAAAAGGAACGATAGAAAAAGAAAAAGAAAGAAGAAAAAAGGAAAGGAACGAAGGGGAAAAAGAAAAAGGTGAACTGGTAACGGTTACACGCGCGTTTCCCTTCCACGCGTTACGAAGAACCTTTGGTGACTAGATTTCGGGTAGGAACGAGATCACTGCGACCAGTCTCGCAGCAGTTCTTCGACAGCGTGGACGGTATACATAATAAGGGTGAAGGGGAACAATTCCCGTTAACAACAACATCGTCGCGTTAGAAAATGTTTGGTCAAGTTGCGCGACGACGGACTAGAACGTGATCGTTTTTCAGGAGAATGGCTCTCTTCGGTGCCTTCGGTGATGCGGGATACGCGACGATCGAACGTCCAAGAGACCGACAAACATTTCGGTTATCGCGGTTCGAAGGGTGTTGGTTTCGAATGGGAAGGATGGTCTCGCGACGGAACGAATTAGCTGTGATCGTTGGCGCAGGTGGTCGGTGGTTCCGTGGATGTCGACGACATTCCGCTCGTGCTCCTGAAAACAGACGAACCGCCGTCTTGAAATCTGCACAGGTGAAAAAAGTTTACGATAGAGTTACCTTCTCCGTTCGGTGGATCGTTCCTCGTCCTGCTCGAGAAGATCCGTGACAATGGCAGGCTCCGTGTGACCTTTGCGGTTCGGGCCGCTCGAACGTAGATCGACGGTTCCTCCGTTGTAGTGGCCGTTCTCGCATCTGTTCGGGTACTCGAGGTTCATCGGTAGCTTCCTAATCTGCAGGTAATCCGAGCCGGTCGGAGCCAACAGCTCCTCGTAATACTCGACCGTTTTCGGCTCGGACGCGGAGCTTCTGTATTTCCGCGGCAAGGAGGAGGAAGCGAAACAGCCGACCGTGGTTGGTTCGCTCGGCAAGCCGGATACCGGGCTCCGATAGCTTTCCAGATCGGCGTCGATCGGAAAGTCTACGCTGTGATACCTCGCCCGAGACGAGGACAGATCGAAGGTCGGCGATCGGATGTATCTTCTGAGCGGATCGTAGGAGGAGGAAAGGGGAGGCAGGTGCTCGATCGAGGATCTCGGATCGGCGATGTACGAGGACGAAGACGAGGTCGTGGCGTCGGAATATCGGGGGGATCTGTCGAGGAAACTGTTACGCGCGACGATGCCGTCGTCGGCGAACAGGTCGTAGCTTCTGGACCGACGATCCGCGTGCCTGGCCAAGGAGACCGTGCCGAGGCCGACGTACTTGCTGCGATCCCGTTGCTCTCTGTGCCCGCTGAAGCTGTACTTTCGCGGCAACGCGACGCTGCTCGACGACAGCCCGAGGCCAGGCGGGGGGGCCGTCAGCGACGGTCTCCTTCTGTCGTTGAACCGCGAGTAGAAGCTCCGCCTGCGGATCCGATCGATCACCGATTCCGAATTGTCGGACCTCGCGTACAAGGAATGCGACGGGGACGTTGGCGAGTGAAGGTCGGCCCGGGCGTGGTTCAGCTCGGTCGAGCTGACCGACCACGAGTCGAAACTCTCGGGCTCGTCGACGGGCGAGAACGGCTCGTTCGTGTAACGATCGAGCAACGGCGGCGTCCGTTGATTATTCGACGGTTCCGTCCGATCCGTTTCGGTTCCGACGGATTTTCCGTTGTCCTGTTCTTCCGGCAGATCGGCCGCCGGTCGTGAAATCGTCGCGGACTCGTCGTTGCCGGATTCGGCACGACTCTCGAGAAATTTCGCGCACTCCGTCACCTCTTTCCTCAACTCGGCGACGTCTTTGGCGCGCAACGGCTTGTCGATGATGATCTTGTTTCCGGTGATGCTGGCGCGGTGCGTCACTTTCGAGAGACATTCCATCAGCTTGTCGGTGGCCGCCTTCGGAGATTCACCGGGGATTCTCGGTGACTCGGACTTCGGCGACTCCTTTTTCGGCGTGGTGTTTCTGAACGAGTGTTGGGGTATTTTCGTCAGGTCGAGCTTCAAGTTGCTGCGGTTTGCGCGCTGCGACTCTTGTTGTGCTTTTGTTAGGCCGTTTTTCGCATCGAGCACGATTGAATCCTCGCCGGGGCTATCGAGGCTCGGCTTTCTCGACGAAACGGCGGCGGTTTTCGCGTCCCCGTAGTTGGACCTCGCGGATGTTCTCCCGTTCGTTTGCGAGTCGACACCGTTCTCCTTGGTCTTGGCGACGACTGTCTTGGCAGCAGCGCCGGACGAGCCGGTCGACTCGGAACTCGTTTCGCCGGTGTGCCCAAGTTTTTTCTTTACTCGCGGTTTCGCGGTTTTCCCGGTCTCGTCCGGTTTCTCGTCCGAACCGTCGGACGATTTCTTCGCGATCTTTTTCACCGTTCGCGTCGTCGTCGTCGTCGTCGTCGCGGTGGTGGTGTTGGTGGTGGTCGTCGTCGGCTTCTTCTTCCTCTTCTTCAGCGTCCCGTCCGTGTCGTTGTTTTTCACGGTGTTTCTCTTTTCCGCTTCGTCGCGCTTTGCCGTTTCCGCGGATGAGCCGTTCTCCACCAACGATCGATTTTTTCTAGTTTTTAGAAGCTTCTTGTCGATTGCGCCGTTCGTGGGATCTTCCCGGGCGAGTTCCGTCGCTCTCTTCTCACCGGCGAACTCCTCCGCGATCTCGGTGCTCGGCGAGGTTCTCTTCGAGCCGTTCTCGCTCGATCCTGTTTTCTCTTTCACGGTCGAAGCTTTCTCCTTTGGCGGTGAACGTTTCGGAGACTCGGACCCAGGCTTTTCCCCAACGAGTCTCTTGGTCGGTTTCGAGTCTGCTTTGACGCCGAGTTTGGTCGGTATCCGGCTGCTACCGCCGCCGCCGCCGCCGCCGCCGCTACTCGACGAGGCGTCATCGCCGAAAGCTACGGTGGTGTCTGGCTTCGTTGATTTTGGCGGGCTTTTCTTCAGCCTGCTCAGAATGGTGTTTTGCGCGACAACGCGCGATGGGCCCGCAATCTGTTTCGTGTCCACGCTTTTGAACAACCCCAGCACGGATGACACTTTGCTCCTAGCGGTGCGTCCGACGGGCTTGTTCGCGGACACATCTTCGACGCTGGCGGCTTTCCGGAGAGAATCGGTTTCGGGGGCCGAACGTCGTTCACCGGGAGGAGCGGAGAACTCGCGGGACTCGTTCGCGATTCCGCCGTTCGCCACGGGTTTCGTCGTCGCGGCAACGACTTCCTCGCTCGAACGAAGTCTCTCGAGTTTCTTCTCCAACGAGTGCAAGAAGCTGTTTCGCGAACCGCGTCTCTCCTCGATCTTCCTCGTTTCGACCGTTTCCTTTGGCGGCGAGTTTTTCTCCGTCTTCACATCCGCAGACTCTTCCGGTCGGCGATCCTTTCTGAGCGCGTTGATCTCGTTCTTCAGCTCCTTTTCGCGCTTTTCTTGCTCCACGCCGCTTTTCGTTTCCTGCGATCTGTTCTCGGTTTTTCGTCTCATAAACCGGGATTTACGTCTTTCGTTTTCCGCCGCCTTTCGTTCCTCCTTCTCTTTCGCGTAACGACTCTCCTCTCTGGGCGTGTCGAAAAAGTCAGGACGCAGGAATCGCGATATTCTGTGCTGTTTCGACTTTTGCGGCTTTTCCTTTTCCTTTTCTTTCTCTCTCTCCTTCGAATCGTTCTCGCGGTTCCCGGCAGACTTGAAGAGCTTGCTCAGGATCGACTTTTCCGGTGTGAGGGCTCGCGCCGCGGTGAAACCGAGGTCTCGCGTGTCGGCGAACGACTTCCGACGATCCACGGCCGACGTCGGCTCTCTGGTCAGCGAACCGGATCGCAGCCGTAAACTCGGGATGCAGGTTCGTCGTTTCGCGACCATCGAGGAGCAGTTGCCCGTTTCACCGATCGAGATCAACGACTGTTTCTCGCACTTGTCGGTGTCTCTGTAGCTCGAGCTCAGATTCGGGTCGAACCTGCTCGGTCCGAGGTTCCTCAGCTTCGACTCCTTGATTAAATTTTCAGCGGCGAGTAGTCTGTTCTCGAAGCTCCGTGACGGATCCGATCTGGGAACGTAGGCGGCAGCGGCAGCGGCGGTGGCGGAAGAGGAAGACTTGTAGTCGAGCGCGTTCCAGGAGGACTCGGTCGTCGGGGACGTGTCGTACGATTTGGTCGACACGCTGGACATCGCATCCGGCAGATTCGCGGACGCGCAATCCGAGACGGAACTGTTCTCGGTCGCGTGATTCTCTTGGTTCTCCGGGTCCGACTTCCACGACGAGGCGAACGCGTCGTCGGCCGTTTCCTCTTGAATCTTGTCCGTCCTGTACGAGCGAAAGTTTTCCCTGCGATGCTTGCCGGTCGTACCGGACGGTGTTGATTCCTTGTACTTTCGACCGAGAGTGCTCGCGTGCTGGGCAAACAACGTCTGCAACGAATCCTCGCCGCGTTCGTTGCTCTCGCGATCGACGTCGATGTCGTCGTCGAACAGGCTAACGCTTCTCCTCGGCGATCCACGGCATCCGTATCCCTCTCGACTGCCGCTCGACTCCAACAAGCTGTTCGATCGTCGCACGACATTGTTCGCCGGTCGGTGTTCCTTGTATTCGGTTTGATCGGACACGGTGGACTCGGAAGAACGGTCTCCGGCCTCGGACGAGTCCAGGAACAACGCGTTTCGCGACTCCCTGCAGGGGGACAAGCGACGGTATCGCGTCTCGTAGGGTAGAGATCGTCTGGTTTGCTCGATGAACGATCTGCTCAGCCGTTTCGCCAGACTAGGCGTGAAGCTTTGCTCCACCGATTCCTGTGTTTCTTTGCTGATTCGCGCCTCCGCCTCCGCCTCCGACTCCGCCTCCGCAGCCGCCGGTTTCGGTTCCGACTCCGTCTCCGTCTCCGTCTCTGTTTCCGTGACCGGTTCCGCTTCCGCGTCTTCGCGTTCTACTTTATCTGGAAAAAGATTTAGATAACGTCTACGCAAATTCGAAACAGGACACGATTCTAGGGGTCTGCTCTCCGTTCGGGACGGGTGGTCAGTTTCGGGATGCGAGCCAACAAAATACTCTCGATCTCCTCCGTATTTACACTCCTTTTATTTCTACATACATGTTGCAACGCGTTGCTTGCCTTGCTTTCTCTTATATAAAATCTTTCTTGGAGAATTAATAAATAAACTTAACCGGCGAAAGAAACCTCTCGAGACACGGTTCTAGCATACACTGTTGCTCGTACGCGTTACGACGACACCACCGTTTCCGCTTTAGACCGCGCCCGTATTCGTTTGCTTTCGCACTTTTCGAATCTACATCTGGTACACGCTGATTACATTAGTCTTTTCAAGAGTACCGTTTCTTTTTTCGCAACCAGTGAAGAGAACAGTTGGCGAAAAAGAGAGACAGAGAGAGAGAGAGAGAGAGAGAGAGAGAGAGAGAGAGAGAGAGACAGAGAACGAAGGAACAAAGAAAAAGACGGAGAGAAACGCTTTGGACAGACTGAATCGAATCATTCGAGAGTTGTTTATTTGGAAGCGAAATTTACGCGATTCGGGCGCGGTTAAACGGGGTAAAGCGTCGCCGATTCGATATCTGGCACTTAAAGGTCCAAGGACGATCGCTGCTGGGAAAACGACGACGACCCTCGGTCGAAATCTATCTAAACGCATCGACAAACAGTCGACGGCGGAACATACACGCGTATACACACACATACACATACGTACATACACGTACACGCGACCGTTGATGCGACAAATCGTCGAACGTGAACTCGTATACTCGTCGAACGATTACGATTACATGCAGCGAACAAATATGTAGGCTTGCTATATGCGTGAGAGAAGTTGTTATAGGTCTCGAACGGAGTCGAACACGTGGAACCGATCGCGAGGGCTTGTTTTCGCAAAAGCTTTCGCGAGCATTCAAATATTTAATATAATTTTAATCGAATAGATGTATGTATAACGGCATGGTAACGCGACGCCACGTCATGCGATTCCTGCGGGTGAATCCAATCTGGGAAATTAGCCCTCGTGCTCGAACAACACGTCTAGACGAGTATACTCCACGATGTCTTAGGTCTCTAAATCACAACGCGTCAAATCTGTCAACTTAAGTCGCAAGTAATGCAGTATACAATACATTAAATACAATATAGTAGCATTATCAAAGCATGCCGAGACAACGTGAAGTAATAAAACGCTGTTATTTAAACTCTTAAAAACACAACAAATATCAGCCATCTCAAACAGGGGTTAGCTCCTCCGCCATATTGTATGCACGATGATTCCTCGAGATATCTTGTCTGAACGTGTGTAGAAATCTTTCTCTTATGCAACGAGTTTAGTATTGTTTTGGAAACGCGACGAAAACCGTTAGATCCGTCGCCGAGTTTAGTCTTAGACACGCGACTATACACGTACTTATACCGTTGCTGCGAGTCGAATCCAATTCTCGGTTCTTTTATCGTTCCCTTTCGTTTCTTCTCTCGACAGATCGGTAAGAACCGAAGACAGACTCGTACGTCCGTCCAGTCTAGTGGTTTTGTTCTCGCGTATATCGTGCTCCTCCCGGTCGTGGCGTTTCTCGAACGATTCGATTCGATTCGACTCGACTCGGCTTACGTACGGTGTACATAATGAAACAAAGATACGCGCAAGAGAACTTGGTTAGTGCTTGTACCCGTTCAAAAACACGTTTTCGGATCGTTTCGTTCCAAACGATCGAGCACCGGAAAAGAATCCCAAAATCGCGACGAGTGAAAAAGGTTAAAGAACTCTGCCGCGATAGAGTGTGTTGTCGTCGGTAATTTCGCGAACGAGACAACGAACGAGCATCGAATCGTCGAATCGCGCGAGACATCCCGTATTCCGTCGAGCGTGGCCAATCGATCGACGGAATCGACGAGAATTGTGTAGCGTTCGTGCGACCGGATCGTCGCGTTCGCTTGATAGAGAGTGTAGAGCATAGTACCTAACTTGGTTTGTCTACTGGGGATTACCGTCTGCCCGCCTACGTAGAGTCACTCGTACGGTCGCTGCAACAACCGTCAGAAAAGACCGTCAATTACACGTGTAACAAAACGGATTCCACCGTGATTCTCTAGAATATATTTTCGATTATTATCCGCACCAATACGTTTCGTGAGTCGATCTAGTCTCGAGGAGAACGATGCCGGACCTGAAATTTTCAAACCACGAACAACGTATGTATGTATATGTATATGTATATGTATATGTATATGTATATGTATATGTATATGTATGTATCGTATCGTGTCGTGTCGTGTCGTGTCGTGTCGTATATGCAAGCGTGTCGCGTCGACGAAACTGTTCACGCTGGCACCGTTCTCTGCGATCGAACACATTTGTTTTTAGCTTATTTTTCAAACATCTCGCGCCCCCCGGCATCTCGAAGGCAAAAAGCTTTTCTTCGATCAGTCAACATCGTTGTTTTCGTTCGACTCGAGATATCCGATGAACAACGAACGGCGTTTACTATTCCCGCGAGTTGGTGGATGAACGTGAAAATTGTCAACGTTACATATTGTCGACGGTGCGTAAGTATACCGAAAATATAATCTGTCCGAGAGTGATCGACGGTGGCAAACAGTTTATTCCTTTTGATCGCTGATTGAAGAGTCGACGATAGACGTGAAGTGGATGCATGAGTATTGATTTTGATGAAGATGGATTCTGTCTTGGATAGTATAGAACCGAATTTCCTCGTGTGTTCGTGCGCGTACATGGATTTGATGTGCAATCATGCCATAAACTTTAGTATACACTTGATAAATTAAATAAGACAAATGAATTGCGGCTGCTCGTGTTAATAGGATAATGTATAAATCAGCAACAACATCGCAAATCGCTACTACTGCGTATTACGTATTACGAGGTTCTATGTCAGGCAAAGTATGAGAAGTTACGTCTCTGAGTAATTTTGCTATCGAAAATCTTCTATCTCGAAACGTTCTTATCGCGACCGGCGAACTCTCCGACTCGTCGTTCGCGTACAGTTGGAAGTGCAACGGAAAAGTCTCTAAGAGAACAGCAGGCAGGTATATTTTGTTTTTGCGAGGAACATCGTGCAAGACATGCGCTTCAGAATCTGGAAAAATCTTTCGCGTTTTTTTTGAAAGTACGCGATCCCGTTCCCAGCACCTCTCCAATGGAACGGAAGAAATGTGAGCTATTAAATAAATAGACAAACGGTCGATCGCACGATTCCCGTGAAAATGAGCGGATCGATTCTAACGATCGAATTAATCTTTCTGAAACTCATTCTCGCGTTCTTCTGCTTCGTTCGATTACAAATTACCGAAACGTTTACCCACCTGTGCCAAACATGAACCGTCTAGGTATGTATCTATTCTAAGTGGGTTAGTAGAAAAAGTCGCAAAAACATGTTCAGGCAATCAAAAAATCGGAAAAATATCTCATCGACGAGCGAATAAAAGGTAGAGGGTTCGGTGATACAACGAATGATTGCGGGGGGGGGGGGGGGGGGGAGAGACAGAGAGTCGAAGAAAAAGATGTAAAAAGTAAGAAGAGAAGAGGCAAATCGGTAAAAGTAAAGAAAAAGATGTGCTCTGTCTATCAACGACTCGACAACAGCTAGGTACTAGGAGATGCATACTGAATAACATTCAGTATTTTCTCGCGCGACTAAAGTTCGACTTCAATCACTAAGAAAATAAAGAGCGACGCGGTAGTATTATCGCGTTGCGACTTTGTGGAAGCTTCTTCCGAGGAGCGTCGGTTTGGTAATTTCGTTCGATTCGCGATCGAATTTCACCGATCGGCAAGAATCGACTCGTTGGAAATCGGCTCACGCGAAGAGATATCACGGCTTCCGCGAAGTCGCGAATCGCTCGAATCCAAAGTGAAAAAACATTCGTCGTCGCGTGGTACCGCGCGGTCCAGGCAAAAGTGTTGTTTGACAAGAAAATTTTGGTGTTTGAACGAATCGTTTCGTGACTCGGACCGTTAGCCCTTGGACGATGGAAATCACGAATCCGAGCCAGAGAACGCAAAAGGTCGACCAATAGACCGGGTACCGAGGTTTCGTTTTCTCAGTTTGACGCAGTTTCACGTTGAATTCGTGGAACGATCGTATGGCACTCGACTCGGCTCGACTCGGTTCGGTTCGACTTACCTCTTGGTAAGGTGTTGCTGCCGATGTCAAAGACGGTTTCCCTCGCAGAGGTGTTATGCGATCCTGGGCTATTCGGGCTTCCGGGATTCGTCGAGGAGTCGACGGAATCCTTTCTCGAGAATACGTCTCCGTCGCGGCTCCGCGAATGCCTGAACTGAGACTCCGTCAACCGCCTGTGCGCGCAACAAAGCAAATTTCCGTTATACGCGCGTCTTTTGCAGCAAGCATAGTCCCCGAGTCTATCAACGCGTTCCACGTTAAGAACTAGCTGATCGACTACTCTTCGAGACTGAAACCGATCGGTACCGATGACCTTCTTCGCAGTTGCGCGAATCCGTGTCTCGAATAGTCGATCGATCGTACAGGAACGGAGGAATTTTTGATCGGAATCGGGAACGACGGACAATAGGATCTAAGACGAAGCTCCATAGACTCGTGGAGTAGGGTGTCGAGATGTAAGTACACGCAACGTCGGCAAGTATTTCAGGCCGATTTATTTATCCGCGCACCACCTCGATGTTCTGTCTCTCGGACGTCGGAGGTCTCGCGAAGAGGAGGCGAACGAGACGAAGCTGTTCAAAACAGGGACGTGTTTAACCGGGAGAGAGGTAATCGTGTTGCGTTGCACTACCTTATAAAATAATCGGCATACACTACATTGTTCTAAAGTTGTTGTAACAATTGGACTCACGTAGTCACGGTCCTCGTTTCGACATACGTCTGGTAGCTTGCGCAAACAAGCGTCGAATCGTTCCGATTAGATGACGAATATCGAATCTCAATGAGACGCGGACAAGTAAATTTCACGTGGTATGGCAGAAAAATAAAGCACGAACACACGTTGGTGATTTACCTCGATAACGGCTTATTGAGAGCCCAAAACGCTGGCGACGAATTCGATCCTAGTCTTCCAAAGAGTCGAGAACTTGGGAAACCAGCGTTTCGGTTGTCGTCCACATTCAGTCTCTGCGTCAAGCTTCTCACTCTGGAGAGCAGCGTGGAAAAGAGATTCTCGGCCGTGAGCAACTCGAACCCGTCGTCGTCGTCATCCTCGCCGGAGGACAAGCTGTCCGCGTGTTCCGACGGTTGCCTCGACGGTCGAGAGCTTCTCAGTCGATGCATGTGCCTCTGTAGGAGATCCTCGCTGTCCCTAAAACGTGCAACGAATCTGGTTAACCGGCTCTCGCCTTCGAGGATGAATGGAATCGAGACTGGAAATCTGAGAGGAGGAATCTGGAGACTGTTGATTCACCTGTGCAACGTCGAGAATGGAGATTCGTCCTCGCTGGCGTCCGACAACAGGGAGCTCATTCTTCGGGGCCTACCGAACCTGGACCTCGTCGGCGCGTTCGCGCTAGTTGGGGTACCGGTTTTACTCTCTGGTTCCACGCTACCCGACCGCGGCGTCACGTATCCACCGCCCTCCACAGCAATCGGAATTATGTATTCTCTGGGACTTTTTCTGATCGGTTCCGGACCGAGCGTAGTAGATCCCAAAGCGCTGTCGGTATCCGAGTCCGCAGTCGACTGACGTGACAGCGATCCCGATCGCTGGGACATTGATCTTTGTGGCATCGGTGGCTTCGGCGCGGACACTGGCTGTTGTTGTTGTTGTTGTTGTTGTTGTTGTTGTTGTTGCTGCTGCTGCTGCGGCGGCGGGGTCGTCGGCGTCGACGAATACTGTGATCGCACGGTGTCCCCTTCCATCTGTAATCACCAGCCAGATCGTCCGCGTTACATTCGATCCCGTCGGGGCAGAAGAAAACACAAACAAACAGAATTTTAACTCGCCTGTATCGGTATTATTCTCTCCTTCGGAACCAGATTCTTCGGCCTGGTGTCCGGCTCCAAACTCGCGCTTCGATTCGAGTGTGGAATCGCGGCCGCAACGGGGAAGGCCACTTCGGACCTTTGTGTTCGCAGCTTCTGCGGTTGAAACGCGTCGATCTTCGCTTCTAGCTCGGACCTGAACGCCGCCACAGGTTCCGACGACTTTGTCCCTGACAACGAGATCTCGGCTTTGCTCGTTTTCCGCGGTCTCGGCAGAGTCGCGCTCTTTAGAGTTATCTCCATTTTGCTGGACATTCTCGGCTCGTCCGGCTGCGAGTCCTCCCCGTCGTCGTTGACGGTCGCGGCAACGCTCGAGATCTGAAAGCGAAAGCAAAAGGTGAGAAGTCGAAGAAAAACGAATTGAACATGAATCGCATGTTCTCTTTCCGCGATTGTTCTTACCGATGCTGTCGGCTTGTTCGCCGTATCGAAGGATTTGTCATCGAATGTAAAGTTGCTATCGACAGGCGTGGAAACGGATACCGTGGCGGTTCGCAGATCGTTCGTTCCAACGGGTATCTTCAACGGTAGCTTCTCGGCAGCATCCTGGCCGGGCGGTGACATCGGCGGGGATCCGTTCACTCTCCTCTGGACGGGCGGTTTACCGATCGCTCCGGTTATTATATCGACTGCACGTTTCTTCGCCTCTTCCAGCTCCACCCCGTCCGGTTCCCCGCTTCGAACGTCTCGCGGCTGTTTCGATTTTTCGATCTTTTTGTCGGTCGGCACGTCGATGATGACTTTGGACGCGCTGGGCTTCGCGGGAGGAGGCGCGCCGATAGAAGAGAGACTAGCTTTCCTCTCGAACACGCGTTTCGCTCCTCCCACGTTAACGCCAGGAATGAAGATTTTCTTTGGCTTCTCGGTTTCGACGCCAGACGCCATTTGATTGAACTTCTCCGCGGTTTCAAATATCTTCGAGCGCCTCCTCTCGAACGTCTTCGCTGGAACGTCTCGAGTTTCAGCCGCGAGCTCCGAGTCGAGAGACAGTGCCTTCTCCTTCAGTTTCTTGAACTCTCGTTGAGTGGCTTCCAAACTGTCTTGAGAGGCGTATGCCGCCGCGTTATCGTCGTTGTCGTTCACAGCTGTCTCGCTCGACGATACAGCGGTCTTTGGAACGATCGGTCGTTCGTCGCGCGTCATCCCGAGATTCTCCGCGTTCACGGAAACCACGCCGGAAGTCGGTTCTTCCCGGTATCCTTTGTCGAGCGATTTCTCGACCTCGTTCCGTGGGTGTTTGTCGTCGCGATCGGCTGTTCTCAGATTGTTTTCCATGGACGGATGATCGATCGGTTCCTGTTGTCTCTGGGACGCGGTCACCGGCATTCCGCTTCGTTCCTTGCTGGGCGACCTCTCGTTGCATTCTTTGATCAACTCCAAGGAAACAGCCGTAGATTCCGCTCCACTCGGGTCGACGAGGATTGTGCTGCTCGTCGGAACGGGCACAACTGGATCCACTTCCATGGCTTCCTCGGTGATAGCGTTTGGAATCGGGGCCGAGTGATGCCTGTACACGTGTAAACCACCGTTAAACCACCGTAAAAGAGCCGGGACGGGAAAGACTATGATAGAACAAAAAAAGTGGAGGAGAACGGAAACGATTACCTGGACGCGGATCTATACGTTCTAGGTTCTCTCTCGTCGGTTCGCTCCTTTCTCCTGGACCGCTCCTTTCTCTTGACACCAGCGGCGGCCGTCTCGTCCATCGACGGCGTTGTCTCGAGCTTCCTCTTTGCGTCCCCGGCAGCCGGTGCGGTACGCGGCTCCTCCTCCATTAGCTCCCTTATTCTTCTGTCGGAATTGTTTCGATCGATCTCCATCAAGCTGCCGACCGAATGGCACCTAGTGGGAACCAGTGTTTCGGAAGACACGTTGTTCGCGACGTCCCCGGCCGCTTGACGGTCATCGCCCACCACTAGCTTCTCCGCGCTGGCCGACTGTGGTACCAACGAAAGCAACAAATCCAGTCGAACCGGGGTTTGCGCAGCCAACTCCTCCGCGATGTCCAGACAATTTTGTTCGTAACCCTCGTTCACCCACCAGTGGGTACATATCTTTTCTATGTCAGCTCGCTTGCCGGGACTTACCGTCAACATATCCTTTATGAGAGGAGAGGCGGCTGAAACGAATTCGTTAACGGTTTTACTATTCTTTACTCTCGGAACCGAAAGTCGGAAACGGACTAACGCGACGCTATGCGACGAGAGAAGAGAAAGAAAAACTCACGCGACGGTTTCCTCGGTTCGAAGTAATCCGATTGGGAGATCTGTTTGACTAGTCGTTTAAAGTTGGACCCATCGAAGGGCATGGCACCGTAAACCAATGTATAGAGAAGAACCCCCAAACTCCAGCAGTCAACTTCCGGCCCATGATACGGGGTGCCCTTGACGATCTCCGGGCTCGCGTAGAGCGGACTGCCGCAGAATGTGTTCAACAGTCTTTGCTCGTCGAACACGTTCGACAGTCCAAAATCCGCTATTTTCGCGTTTCCAACTTGGTCCAACAATATGTTTTCCAGCTTCAAGTCTCTATGGCAAATTTTATGTTTGTGACAATAAAAGACCGCGGTGGCTATCTGTCGGAATATCCTACGAGCTTCGTGCTCCGACAAGACTTTGCGTTCGCTCAGGTAATCGTAGAGCTCACCGCCGGCCGCGTACTCCATTACCAGCACCATTTTCTCCCTGTTCTCGAACACTGAAACGAAAGAAACACGGTTACGAATATCAAGTTACACAGTCGAACCGTGGCGACGATAATCGACAAGTTTTCAGTTTACCTTCATAAATGTGAATGATGTTTGGATGTTGCACGCTCGACATTATTTGAATTTCTCTTCGTATTCTTATCAGATCAGCTTCCGTCTCTATTTTGCATTTCTTTATCGTCTTTATCGCCACTTCTTGACCAGTTTCTTTGTTTATGCCCAGCTGAACTTTGCCGTAAGTACCTTGGCCGAGCTTCTTGATGATGTCGAACCTGAACGAAAGAAAACAAACGGAACACGTTTGAGGGTGCGATGCGATGCGTCGCATCGAATCTATGCGATTCGTCTACGTCGAAACGTCGGAACGTCGGAACGTCGGAACGTCGGAACGTCGGAACGTCGGAACGTCGAAACGTCGACACGTCGAACAATGCGGTGGTCGCGTTATGTACATTAGAAATACATATACGTTCAACCGGGTATGTATCTAGCGATCGCGAGAATCTCAAAGTTTCCGACCGATTATCGCTGAATCGTTCGAGAGCCGATCAATCTTCGATCGGTCCCTCGAAATTTACTTTCTCCTTCTGCCTTGTTTCCCGTTACACGATCTTGTTCGATCGACGTACCTCTGCTTCAGTTTCCGTTTGTGATTGTGAAGACGCACCCCGCCCGTGCTCTCCATGCCTCCCATTATATTGTGTATGCTCGCCTCGCCGACAACCATTTTTCTTACTTTTATCTGAAAAGAAAATGTTTCGGTGTAGCTTGACCATGGAAGAGAACCCGTCGAGTTTAGTTTTCCAAAATTTCCTTTCGACTTTCGATCGTTTCGTCGTTTTAGTTTCTCGCCATCGCGCGAGCCCTTTCCATCAAAGCACACAGATATTTCCAAGAATCTTGTCGAAGAAACATGTTTGTAGAGGACGGAAGGAAGGAAGGAAGGAAGGAAGGCAGAAAGGAATGACCTGAGTTGGCCGCGTTGGATCGTCGAAAGGTTAACGCGTGGGAAGAGAATGACGAGGGACGAGAAGAGGGTGTTTTTGGTGTTGTGGCGCGAACCTTTTTTCAAAGCAGTCCGTCGAGTTCGGCTGGATCACGGTTTGGGCCACGAGCTCGACGCACGCGATCGAGGATCGCGACGGCGGAGGTGGCGGTGAGTGGCGGTGAGTGGCGGTGGTGGCGGTGGTAGCGACGAGGTACGGTTATCGAGCTCGCGGTCCAACGAAGAAGGAAGGACAGAGAGGCGAAGAAACGCGCGGCGAGTTTATTTTCGGTGTCGAGACGTCGTCGGTGTGCGTCTCTCCCGCCCCGCGATGGATGGCCCCGCCGCGTTGCTCGCCTCCTCGACGAAACGCACGATGGAACCGAATTGAACCGAACCGAATCTTATGCACGACGATTCTTTCGTGTAAGCAAGTAGCTGTCTCTCGCCCTTTCGTCGGCTGCTCTCGCAACACTGAGAAGGAAACGAATCGATCGACTTCTTAAAATCATATCGAAAGGTGCTTCCAGCTGGCAAAGATTATTCGTTCTTCCGCGAGTACCGTCAGACCATTTCTCGTTTCCTCGAAGAAAGAAAAACATGCCACGTTCCCAGCGGTCATTCATCGATACGTAACCGTACGTTGAACCCTCATTCGAAGTCGCAATTCGATGATAGTGCAGGGTGGAAAAAGGGGAATCAAGAATTTCGATCTTGTTCCGCTTAATTCAAAGATTTTCGTGATCGACGCGAAAGCTCGTTTTCCGTATCGGAAATCGAAACGGACGGGACAAGGTTTCGGCCGTGGCATCGAAGCAGCTCAACCTCCACGGAAAGAAGTTCTATGTAATTTTAACGGAGCTGCTGCAACGTATGTATCGCGGTGTCGACGTTACGCGCGAGCTGGCTATTAATGCTCCGCGATATGGATAATATGACCGCCACGCCGGTCGTTCGTTCGTTCGTTTCGGTTTTCAAACGAGGCTGTCCAGCAAAATACATATATGTACGTATACTCGTGCTGGCCAGTCGCCTCTGCTCGACGAGCAGAACGAACCGAGCGAGACCAGACGATAACAAGTTTCCCAGAAAATGCGAAAGGACTCGGTAAAAGCTCGTTTTCCCAACGATCACGTATATGTACCTCCTTTCACGAGTTTGCTCCAGATCGAGGGCCCGTAGTCTATTCCGTTCCGTTTCATCGAACAGTCACATTTTCCAACGCGTCGTCTTAGGCCGACGCGCTCGAATTTCTTTTCCGAGTGAATTCCGTCAAGCACGCCAAAATGCTACAATCCGATTTAAGCGAGACATCAGGTTCGCAGTCTCAAACTCTGCCAAATGTCGCGTCACGAGGTTCTCGCCGTCGCGCGTACGCTCGAAACTTCTTCCCCGATCGCATCGCGAGCCTTTACACTATACACGGTTCGACGACGCGTTTGACCTTGCAGAGGCGCTCGTCTTTCCCGTCTGCCGATACGCGGACCGTGAGTATCGGCAACGCGTCCGGTCGAAAGCCTTTTATGGCGCGAAATGCGACGAGTATCGTCCTGCCCGGTTTTATCGACTAGACCGCGCCGACGGTGGTCTCCATACGGTCGATTCTTTATTCGAGGATGATGAAAATCGCGCGGTTGTTCGGTTTCCACTGTCTCGTACATTCAACGATGCTTCCGGTTTTCGGTGTTGGCGCGAACTCTTCTAAACTGAGCGATGAAAATCGAAAAGGTGGCACGAGACGAACAGTTTGCCAATTTGCCTCAAAGTCGATCGCCAACGCTAGGCCAGCTTTACGCGATCTATTATCGTGTTAGCGCCACGATCTTCTTCGAATGGAACGGAACGGAACGGAACGGAACGGAACGGAACGGAACGGAACGGAACGGAACGGAACGCCGCCTCACGAAGACCTTGCTCATTGACATGTTGCACGAAATGCACCGATAATCGCGGAAAGATGACAAGACAAAAATTAGGATAGGTATTGCTATAACTCGTACGATCGGCCAATGATCGAAAGGACGGTTTTGCCGAATCGTTTTTCCGATGATCCGATTGCGAGTTATGTCCGATCGGTGGAGTATACATATATGTATAACTCCGAGAAACGAAACACGTGCGCGTATGCGTTCTCGTTCTCGATACTCGATCGGTGCGTTTCGATATTTTTAGCGAGCGCGTAGACCCGCCGCGCCGCGTGGGCAGACCAGGCTTCAGGGCTGATGTCCTAATGACTTCCATTTCCTCGTGCGTTTCTGTCCCGTTTAATTCGTCGTCGGTCTTTTCCTCGCGAGCCCGCCACTCCGCGAAATATCGTTTGTACCAGCGACTTTCGTTTCGAGGACCCAGAAAAAAGGGTCAGTTGGTACGCGTGGCAGAAGCACCGACTATGTAGCTCGATCCTTATGCACACCGAAGCAGCTTCCCTCGAGCTGATTCTCTGAACCGACGGAATTTTTAAACGATTCTACGCGATGCGAGCCGCGAATGCAACGTGGAACGGTAAAGACAGCCTCTGTCGCTGAACAATTTCGATGTGAATGCTCCAAGGAACGTGGACTAGCCAGGTCACGATCATTTTTACTCGGTATTTTTAGACCGTGTCTAAAATACTACTGTCAACGCGAAGTCCGCAAGAACGCGGGATAAATTCAACCAGCCAATTAGAAGAAACAAACGATTTTTGCCCTTCGATCGCACAATATGCTTTCGTTCGAGGTTTCCGTTTTCGCGAAATTTTCACGAAACTTTTCTATCGTTCTCGAATGAAAATCTTGACGAGGAAGCGCTCGCGAACTATTGGGTCAATGCATGGTAAGGCGCCGTTTGGCAGTGTTCCTTCCAAAAATCTGCCAAGATAAATTTACTTTTGCGCGCTCGAATGATCAACGGATCGACGAGAAACGCGCGTCGTCTTTTGTAGTTTCGACGTACTTATGTATGTATCGCGAACGGAAGTCGATTCTCCCGCGTAGGAATTTCAGTTCGCCGAACCGAGCTCGCCTGCTTGCAGCAAAAAAGAAACAAAAGCAAAAGCAACAACAAACCTTTGCTTGGTTTTCGCCTTTTCTCCCGGTTTTATCGCGGTCAAGAAAACCGTTTTAGGAACGGCTTCGTTTGTGTCGTTCGAATCTTCGGTCGAAATTCCTTCTTACCCTCGAACGCGCAGAACTACTAAATAACTATAATAGTTCTCCAAAGTATTCGCCGCGTATCGAATCGACGCGACGACGCGACGGATGTCGTTCGAACGTGACCTCATCCGCGAGAACTTGTACGGTATCTCGTGATTCATGCGTTATTATTAAAACCCTTATTATTCCTATGCGGGACTCGCGTTGCATACATGAATGAACTTCTGTGCGTCGAGCGCGGGTGATTGTACGCGTGGATCGCGATTTCTTGCGACAAAAGTTTGAGTCACGAACAATTAATAGACTCGGTGAATATCGTTCGCGATCATCCGGACATCTGAGCTATTTCGGCCGAGAAACGTTTCGAGGTATTACGTTAAACGCACGCGTTCGAGAAAGAAACGAGAAAAGAACGATGTACCGTCGACGATTAGCAACTTCCGCGAGAATCGACGTTGGAAGAAATTTTGAAATATCTACATACATATCACCGTACCGAGAGTCGAGAGTCGAATGTCGAGAATCGAAAAGAGACAACGATGTCCAACGACTCTGACTGGTGGTTGCAAAATAAAATAGAGTAGAAGGTAATAAATGTAATGAATATTTCGATCTTGTTGCCAGTATCTTAAAGGGCTAAGTACCAAATTCTCCAAGTGGTTACCGAAAAAGATAGAATCGGATAATAACAACGACGGTGGTGAGAGTAGGCCAATGGTATTGGCAAGTACTACATGACGACGATAGAGTAAGTATCGTCTGACTTGATCCAGACCGATCGTTGAACAAACACTCGAATATCGTTTCTTCGAGTAGACCGCGAGTAACGAAAGCGTAAGTATGTAAATATTAACGGAGGAATCGGGAAATTCGTAAAGCGTTGATCGGTCCTAAGAGTCGTGTGGCCTATCATTTCGATTGAATAAAATCTGTGCCGAAGTGTGCGTGTACGCGTATTGGTGAACCGTTTGCGACTACTGAACCGCGTACCACGGTATGTAGGTTCCTATCGATAAAAATAGCATTCTGATATTTCGAAGGGATCTTTCGGAACATCCGTTGATCGTCTTGGGCTGCATCGTCGAGGATATGGCCGGAAAACAAGTTTTCTTGCGAGGTTATTCGGGGATAGGATGGAACGGTACTGAAACGTTTTTCGAACGGTCTCGAACGATTTCGATACAGCCGAGAGACCGTTCCTCGGCCTCGGTCTCGCGCATTACATATTGAGTAATCGAAAACGCCTACGAAACTAAATCCACGGACGCGTCGTAAGTCGTAACGTTTTTTCATTAAAGGGTAAACGTTCGTTCACGGTACTCGTGCTCGCCGATGGGAGGGACGAGCCGACGCTCTCAATGAGAATCGACACTCGGATAGAATCTAAAAATAGCGAGAATTTGTACCTTACGGTGAACTCTGGAGCCAAATTATCCTCTTTTTGCGGCTGCTATTCACTCCCGGGGAAATGTATAGAGGAAAAAACACTATTTACACTGTTATTATCGTCTCTACGCTGGACTCGATCGTTAAGTCTTTACAACGTTCGAATTTTTCTGAGAGATCGCGAACCTTCTCCGTTTCCACTTCATTTTACCAGACATTTTTCGCGTGACGATACGGCACACGGCTCACGCGCTGCCACCATCTTTATTTACTAATTTTGGACTTGAATGCCGAACTGCGTTTCAAGTTAGATTCCTACGCGATCCTGGTAAATAAATACATACGTATATGTACTCGGTACTTTCTTATACTTGTCATCATGTACGGAAAAACACGCTGTCACGACTTCGATTTCGAAAATATAATGTTTCTACGACTAAACTGTTTCCATTATTTTCGCTGTTTGCATTACGATTCGATGCCTACGTGGCTGTTAGTTTTCTTTAAGTAAAAACAACCTCCACGCGAGAAAGCAAACATTCTTCATGTACATATACATACAACGGACTCAAGAAATACGAAAACAAGTAAACCATACCCGTAAATACAGAAAAATTGAAAAACGAGTGTAACTTACATTGCATATCAGAAAGGAATTGCGTAATTAATAGAATATCAGGAGTATGTAGAATAGCATGCATGTTCCTAGTTCACCGAGTATACATATGTATATTATTCCATAGCGTTACATTTCTTAAACGTTGATAGTATCACATAAATGCAAGAAACTCGTGCATTTCGTGCCGTCAAACCGTCAAATCACACTGGCATCATACACGATACGAACGAAGTATGTATACAGTACATTCTGTTCTTGCTAATCATGGACCTAAGATCGATGTTGTTAATGCCAAAATCTAGAACTTTGACAAAAAGCGCGGGAAACGATTCAGGGAACTAAATCAAGAGTTCTAGATTTAGTTCCCATTTCCGTCACCAAATGGTTACCATAAATCGAGCAATTTCTCGATATTTCAGTTTTCCCGCCATTTTTAGAATTCTAAAAACCGCGGAAAACCTGAAAAATGAAGATTGTACCTATATATTGTACCTGGATTAAAAATTCTCTCATTTAGTGCAGAATCGGTATTTCAGGACATAGGACATGAGGTCCCGTGAGATGTAATGTACCAAATGATACATATATAGATCCATCATACGTATATTTCGTCTGTGCCTGCTAAGGCCTACAGCGCCTATATATAGCCAATTCATGCTTGTTTCTGCTTGTTTCGTGAACCATCGTGAACTCAGTCTGACTCAACTGTCGTGAATGTGCTCATTGGTGCTCGTTGACTATCGTTAATGATCGTTAACGTGAGTACATAGCACGGAATGTTAGGTTACGTTCTGCGCACTGCGTTCAACGACGACCAATGTGGACCAATATTATTTTGCGCGTTCATTCTGCAGTGCTGATCACCTTTAAGCGAAGATCAAACTAGGATCGATCATGGATCCAACGGAGGATTGGAGTGGAAATTGTCAGACGTCGTTGGACAATGCCACGCAGGAAACCGAACGCCACGAACCTAACCAAATTGTATCTGGATACTCGAAATTTGACGATTATGTTCAGGTACGTTGCTATCGAAACGATTCACTTTGAAAAATCTACTATAAATTCCATCAGTTCGATACGAATTACATGTTGTCTTCTTTCAGGATGCATTCGACGCTATACGAGCTGGAATTAAGGCTGCCAATAGTTTACCAATTGAATCAAATTATAATTATTACTCGTGCTTTCCCAGCTTTCTTGCTGCCAAAGACAGAAATGTCACTTTGTTATTAAGCGTTATGCAGCACACCCTGGGCACAGCAGGTATTAAGAGCAATGTTTTCAATCGTGATACAGAAGAAAAGTTTGACCTTCTACTGGAAACAAACGATATACTTTTAGACAGAGCTGTAAGTCTTTTTCAATTGTGTAACAAGTTTTCAGTACGCAGTGTTTGTGACTAATTCGAAATATTACTTATCGCAGAACGCATTGATGGACGAGGAATCTGGTATTTCCAAAAATTCGGAAGTAGAACTAGTAGTAACACAGGCAAGAAAACAAACGATTAATGGCAGTTGGAACAAGCGGGCTTCTAGAGAATCCCAAACGACCGACAGCGTACAACCTGTTCGTTTACTCGCTGGTAAAAATGTTCAGAGACCGCAGTTAATGTTCAAGGACAAAATCGATAACAGTTCGAAACCTTGGTGTCCTAGGATTAAAGACAAACCAAATTCGTTAAAACCACTAGCGATTTATCTAGAAGAGGGCGAGAACGGAGAAACTTTCAATCATCCGTATGAATACGAATTGGACATGTTTAAAGTTTCTGATAGTCAACTAAAAAAATCTGAACCGACAAAATATAAACTTCTGGAGCAAACGCCATTGATAACAATCGAAAATCCATCCGACATGAAATTGCTATTAGAAGATCTGAAACGGTATAAGGAAATTGCTGTGGATTTAGAACATCATTCCTACAGAACTTTTCAAGGAATAACTTGTTTAATGCAAATATCGACGGGAGATACGGATTATATAGTCGATACATTGTCGTTGCGGTCTGAACTTCATGAGTTGAACGAAATTTTCACAAAGCCGACAATTTTAAAAGTGTTTCACGGCGCAGATTTGGATATTCAGTGGCTCCAACGTGACTTATCTCTGTACGTCGTAAATATGTTTGACACGCATCAAGCCGCGAAACAACTCAATCTGCCTTATTTGAGTTTGGCGTATTTGTTGAAACACTATTGTAATATAGATCCAAACAAACATTTCCAATTGGCTGATTGGCGAATAAGGCCTTTACCAGAAGAACTTCAAAAATACGCCAGAGAGGATACGCATTACTTATTGTACATAAAAGATATATTGAGGAATGCTTTGATAGATGCTGCCAATGGGCAGACTAACATTTTGAAAGCGGTTTATGACAGAAGTATAGACATATGTAGAAAAACTTATGTAAAACCTGTATGGACGGAGGAAAGTTGCATGAATTTGTACAGAAAGAGTCAAAAAATGTTCAATAATAAACAGCTTTACGCTTTAAGAGAATTACACAAGTGGAGGGACTTGACAGCCAGAGAAGAAGACGATAGTACTGCTTATGTTTTACCGAATCACATGCTCTTGAACATAGCCGAAACGTTACCTCGTGAAATGCAAGGAATTCTTGCATGTTGTAATCCTATTCCTCCCTTGGTTCGTCAAAATCTACTAAAGTTACACAAAATCGTACTGAAGGCTCGAGAACAGCCGCTTATCAAACCAATCCTCGAAGATCTCAGACAAAGGTTAACTCAGAGGAATAATATTACAAATTCGGAAGCTTGGATGTATTCTCCACATGATATTCCAAGCGGCATGGAAGCAAGGGCTGATTTACCATGTTTATTAGACAAAAATACTTTATCGGAAACATTAGTATCAAAGACTGTGGTGGAACATTCGGTTACAGTGTTCGATAGTCCAGTCACATCTGAGGTAAAGTGAAAATTGTAAGCGGTAGAGCGTGGCAATGGTCGTAGTTTACGTTTCGGTTAAAGAATTAAGTACATATCGCTACAACGTTAGTCATTGCAATTTTTTGTATCTTATTTCAGGATGAAGGAATGGCAAATGAGGGCGAGCAACAGAATGTTAGGAAGAAAAAGTTTGTATTTGTTAGTCCATTTGAACAATATAAACGTGTTATACCCATGGTAGCGCAACAGGAAGCTTGGGAAAGGGAAAGACAGAAGCAGTATGAAGAACAGGAGTTAAATAAAATCAAGAAAGACGAAGAAGAATTAGCGAAAAGTAAAGGCAGAGTTCACGAACATTTCAAACAAGTTTCTCAGGGTATAGTAGCAGAAAGTGTGACTACACTTCCAAAGAAACCAGTTCAAGTTCCTTTGGTTCAAATGCACGGTCGAAAAAGGAAAAGGGATTCAAATATTAGGAAGCAAAGTGAAACGCAAAAGAAGACTAATGATAATTTACTAACACCAGTTCCATCATTGGGAACCATAAGTACGCGCAGTGTTAAAAATGAATTGGAAGTCGAGGAATGTTCAACAAGGGAACAGAGGACGGATGAAAGTTTAGCCAGAATTCAAGCACAATTTGAAGACGATGATACCACGAAATCAATTCGGTGAGAACACACTATATTTATATCATTCAGTTAACCGTAATTGTTTCTTTCCTAAATGTATTTTCAGAGAAAGGAAAAAAGGGGACAAAAAGCGCATGATTAAAGAACTAGCGCAGAAAGGTTTAATGCCATCGAGAACATTTGATTACAAACAGGTAGATTTTAATAGCTTCCAAGGAGGGAGTGCAAACATGTCGAAGCAAGCGAACTTTCAACAAACAATGGTAAGACAATGTATGTTGTTTACAATAATATGAAAAATAAAGAAAACTAACATATCGTTGTTTACATTTGTAGACAAAGCAGACAGATAAAAGACGAAAGCGAAAGAAGCAAAAGTTGAATATATAGAGTGCAATAAATTGGAATTGCAGATTTATTGTAGTTATATAAACCTAGATATCATATACATACAAGATTATAATTTCTTTTGTATCATGTACAAATGACGTAAAATAATAACATGTGTTTCAAGATATATTGCTGCGTATATTTTACACGAAAATAAACCGGGTACTTCGGTATTAGAAGCAAGTATTTGTTTTAATTTTTGACGCATATTCTTGTACTCCATTATTTGAATCTTTCAAATTATACATGAGAGCATTGTATAAAAGTATGCCACAGAATGAATGAGAACAGAATCCATCTTGAAAAATTGTTTCGTTTGAACTTGGTGATGTAATCAGTGTTATCGAAACGTCATGTTTCGAACGCTTTTTTTTTTTTTCGTAAACTTCCGTTAGAAGATCGAATCGTGGAGTTATTTCTTTATGTAACCTGAAGTTGAACAGGGAAAATGATCTCTCTTGTAACGGTGTTAACTAAACTGTCTTTGCTTTCCACGGTACATAGTCATGTGTTTAATGGGAATACAAATACAAGCGTAAGTACTACTGGCGGAAATTCGTTGAACGCTAATAACGCGACTTTGTTGGACTTTATTTATACACGCTCCATTTCTTCGAGTTTTGTGGACACTCATATAGTATCTAAGTCCAATCAAGTTGATTGCTTTGGTCTGGGAAAAACAGTAGCCGCAACATTGGAGTTGTTTTTCATAAGTAAACCCAATGGAACGAATGCTCTGGATGTGCAATTTTTGCTGTCTTCGAGAAATCAGCCACAACGAGTTCAGGTGATGATTGGGAAACAGTTTGGTTTAGAGTGGACAGACTTTCAAGCTGAGCGAAAAACAGTCTTAATAGTGCACGGATTTCTATCGCATGGTGGAGAGTCATGGATTAGCGATATGGAAAAATCATTTCTCAAATGGGTGAGTGAAGTATATGTATACGTCTGTCATCGGTACTGCACGAGTTAAATAAGTAGATTTGATTATTCACACACGTTTCAGGGTGACGTTAACGTTGTGGTTGTAGACTGGAGCACGAGAGGAAATACTTGGAATTATTATAAAGCTGCAGTTAATACGAGAGTCGTGGGATATCAAATCGCAAGGTCCACAAATATTATATACTTTTATCCGTGGCATAAAAAGGTTTATAAGAGGTCGTTCCGCTATCTTTTCTTCGTTTGCTTGATTGTTGTTTTCTTTTTGTTTTTCTTTTCCTTAGCTTTTTCGAACATATAGAGAATGCGACGGTCGTTAAAAGCAATCCGAACGGTGGTAATTGGGGATCTTTACATTTAGTGGGTCACAGTCTTGGAGCACACATTTGTGGATTTGCCGCAAAACAGTTGAAAAGAAGGCAGAGTAAATGGATAGTCGAAAGAATAACAGGACTCGATCCTGCGCAACCATGTTTCAAAGATGCAGATTCCACCGTGAAACTTCACAAGTCCGACGCATTGTTTGTAGACGTCATACACACCAACGGCAAACTGCTTTCGGAGATTGGATTGGGTTTGCCGGAACCTATAGGTTGATATCACTTTGGTGCACGTAAATCGTATTCTTCGTTTCGACATATTTCTGATAAACCCCATCTTTATCAGGGCACGTTGATTTTTATCCCAACGGTGGCAAATGTCAGCCGGGTTGTATAAAAATAGACACTTCGTATTTCGACTATTTACCAATTCCCCTTCGAGGTAATGTGTCCACTTCTGAAATCGTTAGTTTTATTATGCTAATTTATTGCCTCGATAAGACTAAGAATAACGGGTTGTTTTCAGTTATCGACAAATCTATATGCAGCCATGGACGGTCGTACATCTATTTGACGGAATCTTTGATGTCAGACGTTAAACACAATTGTACTTTTTGGGCGCATCATTGGGATTTATCTTATAGAAATTTCATGAAAATAGCAGTGGAGCCCTGCAATAAAAATACCTGTACCGAAATGGGTATAAATTCGATAAATTATCCTCAGCGTGGAACATTTTTTGTTGCTACCTCTAATTCTATACCGTTCTGCGGTAAGTTACACCGGCGGAAAGAGACGCATACATTTATGGATGGTATCTTCTTTTTCTAAACGGTGTTACATTTTCCTTTTTCAGTTAACAGCACTCGCGCGATCGACGAAGTAGTAATTCAGCTGAAGAGGGATAATGAGAACGAGCTCAACGACTGAGATTTATCGATGAATCGACAGTACGTGTATTATCCATTTATAAATACATGTGTCTTACTTTCAATAGACATTACATGTTATGCTATGCGGAAATTATTGTTACATTTCAAAAGCTATTTACAAGTTGATTCGGAAAAGGATTTATGTACATTTTACGGTACCACGTTTCATACGCGATAGACTAATCGCAAGAAAATATCTTTAGATATCGCAAAAGTAAAAAAAAACCGTTAATCTATTTTGTCTCGTCAATTCTCTTATAGATAGGTATACGTAGATTATAGCATAGTGACTCGGATCAAGTATTTTAACGTAAAAATAGTGTCGTGTCGCAGTTTTCTACTTTCAATTACATACTATTATAAATTAGTTGTAAATTACAAGACGTGAGTCCTAAGAAACACAGGAAATAATAATACTTCGTTGTATAAATATCTTCTGAATTAATTAATTAATAAATTAGTTGATCGTCCGAGTAAAAATATATTTTATACTTGTTTATCTTTTTTAACAAGTCCGACGTGTTTTTTGCACGGTGATTAAGCATGCTATTATTGGCACTTGAGTAACGCGTATGTATCTAGAAAGAAGTATGTCTCTTTTTGTATAATCGCGATAAAGTTGTGCGAATCACAATACGTATATGTATAATTCTCTAGATTTTATTCGATCCCCAGGGCGCAATCGTAACTACGAAAATTACTTGTTCGGCGCCAACCCGAAAAAAAGCCTGGTCTTTCGAAGTCGCGCGTGAATGAAATTTAAGTGGAAAACGAAAGAAAATGTAACCTAAACAGTCGAGGTTAACGTTTGAAGAAACGTGTCACACTTGAGATTCAAGTGTGCTTTGGTAGCTTTCCGATCGACTCGATCGCATTCTTTTACCGTCGTTCGGTTGGCGAATTCATCGAATCGCAACAACTTAACTACACAATTGATGTTCGATTGCGACTCGTACGATTCTTTCTCTTTATACAGTTCTTTTTCCGGTCGAGAAAAATAAGAGAACTAAAAAGCTCCGTAACGGATCAATGAATAACCTGTACATAAGTGGCTGGAAATATACCAGTTCGTCCTCTGCACTCGCCTATCCACCACCCGTCCGGTTGTTTCTGATGCACCGTTATCAAGTCTCCGGGGCTTAAGCTGAGCTCGTCGTTTAGATTCGCCGAGTACTGATAGATCGCTCTACACTGTTCCGCCGAGCTGTCGATTTTACTGGCAGTCTCGGCGCCGTCGACCTCTTGATTGTTATTGTCCTCGGAATGGCTGCTAAATTCGTCGAAGTCGCTGAAATCATCCTCGTCGGGTGGATTCTCCGAGTTCCCATCGCCGGCTGTTCGATCGGCCCAATGACGACTCTCGGTCTCGTGATCCTTCGCGAGATGAACTTCGATTTCGTCCTCGTCGTCCTGAAACTCAAACGATTCGTTCTTTGCCCAAGAAGGAACCTGAAACGAGATCGACGTCGTTTGTTTATCCGGCACGATTCTCACGGAACATGTATATATTGTAGTATACGTATGTATACCCGAGAATAGGTTCGCGCGCGTTCTCACCTTAAGGACGCTCTGCTGCAGTCCCTGCTTGTCTCTCGAAACCAAAATGTGGTCCGCCAAGGGATGCTTGGCTCGTTTACTACCTTCCACTTCCGCCAACGTTCCACCGACTTTATACCTCGCTGCCTCTAGGTACAACAACATGGAGCGCATCTAAAAAGGCACAGAGAGCGAAGCGAAACAATAGGTTAAGATAAAGCGTGGTGGTATCACGTGCGTAGTACGCGAGGGAGAAATAACGGAGAAACGTAGACACGGGAACGTACGTGATGCAATTTATCCGTCACGTTCTGCGTACTCTCGTCCGCGGCGAACGCCGGCGTTGCGACGAAAGCTCTGTGAAGCGTTTCCAGACCCTCCCTTCCGCGTCTTTCTCGTTCCAGATCCTGCCTAATCAAATGAAGAACTCTGACCAATGCTTGCTTTCGACGTTCCCTGTTCATCGCGAGAGTAACATGCTCGGCATAAAAGTCCGGCAGCAGTTGCTCGGAACTACATCCCTCGTTACTCTCCACTCTGCGCGTAAGATTCTTCAGGATCTCGATGTCCTGAGGCACGTTGCAGTTACGCGCAGGTCCCACCAAACGGTCCGCGCTCTGCAAGATTAGAAAAAGTGAAGATCTCTGGTGGAATCGAGTGATCGGACGGGACGTACGAACGTTGATACCTGTTGCAGACGGGGAGCGAGAGCTTGCAGGTGCGCCAAGTAAACGTTCGCTAGATCCTTCAGAGCGCTTAATCGTTCCTCTTCGAGAAGTTCCATCTGCTTGGCTCCTTTTCTCACCGTGCTTTCGTATTCGAGCCTGGCTCTCTCGGCTCTCACGCTCACCGTGTAAAACTCCGTATCCGCCCTACGGGACGAGTCCTCGGCCTTTCTCCTCCTCGCCTCGAGCTTGCTCGCCTCCTTCTCCGTCATATGATGGTTCGACGATTTGTTGTTGCTCTGTTGGCTCTGGCTGATCGATTGTAACCTCGCCAGGTCCTGCAGCCTCTCGTTCTCCCGGGCACAGGCGAAACTTTGCTTTTTAGTTTTTGCCGCGATGTTCCGCCACTCGTGGAGAGATTTTCCAGCCTTGTCAACGGAATTCTCGATGGATTTCCGCGAGCGTCCCTGAGCCTCCGCTACTCCCACCTACGAATACGCGAACGCCTCGTTAACGCCTCTTTGTCTCTAACAAGGCGATTTCGCCTAGCCTTCGGCCTAACTCCGTGGTACGCGTACGATCCGTGTCTCTATCGTTTGATCGCTAAACGATGCTAAAACCATCGAGACACCACGTCTCAACGTAACCTTTCAACGGACTAACAGAACACTGCTTCGGAGGGTAGAGCTGTTTTTTGCGAGACGATGCATCATCGTCGTTCCCCTAGAATCTAGTAGATATATTCGCTAGAAGGAACGAGGCATTCAACTCACTCGGAGCGGTTTGGCGAGCTGCTCGCTGAGCGTGATGCTCCACACTCTGTGGGCTTCCGCGGCAGCCTCCATCTCCTCGCCGACGCATCTCCATGCCTCGTTCACGCCTCCGTTGCTGTTTCCACCTGCGTTACGAAACAACACCGCCAACGTCAATTGGAACAATCAAAGAAGAGACCAAAGACTTTTACTTTAAGAGTCCTCCGCGTACCTTGATCCTTCGCGCACGCTTTCGTTAACTTGCTACTCAACTTGCTGAGTCCTTTGGCATAGGTTGCTTCCAATTCCGCCCTGAAAGATGAAAAAGCAACGAGTACTCGTGAGTGGCCCCGACGGAAGATGGTGTTTCCCAGGTCTCGTCGACAAGATATAAATGACATAATATATTGCTAAACTATTTTACAATCGTACGAATGGTTTCGAAAATGCTCTATCCGTTTTGTGATAACTATTGTTAGAGAGAGAGAGAGAGAGAGAGAGAGAAGGCGAAAAATGTTTATCGATATCGTGCGATTGCTTGGCGAAGCAAACGAACAGTATTGTCAATGTCTCTGCGCGAAGCGTCCCGGGCCTCGTAGACGTTGCTCGCGATTTTCACCGAGATTAAATCTAGAGGACCGTTTTCAGTCGTATCATTTCAGTAACACGTGTAACTAGACGCATCACTTATCAATTTACTCTTTGAAAGAAATGTATCCTACGAAACGTCCAAGCGAAGGATCGAATCGCGCGTAGTTACCTTTCGTGAAGAATCGACGCCAGTTCCTTGCAGAAATCACCACCCTGTTTCACGTACCTCCGGACATCCTCGAATCCACCTTGTCCTCCCTGCAAGCAGAAAGCAATACGTATCGGTAAACGTTTCTCTTCGTTCCTCTACTTTCGACAAGAAACTGTCTTCTCGGAGAGGCGACTCGTTCTACGGTTGAATAATCGTGGTGCTTAAGGGGAACGCAGCCAGAAAATAGCGGTAACCACGCATCGTGGATCGTGGCTCGCGAGATGCAGCATTTTAAATGTCTCGCGCGAGTAAATTACGACGCTTTCTTTCACCGGTTCGTCCGTGCTGGCTTCGATGATGCCGCCGGTTTTTTTTTTTTCGCAGACGCATGGCCCGGGAAAAAAAAGAAATTTACGCCTAGGATATACATACATATGTACGTATCTGTGCTTCCGTTTCAGCGGTATTTCTATTCGCTTTGTTCGAATGTCAACAGCGCCGATTTACGAGCAGGGATTAGTCGATTTACAACCGCCTCGAGTGTCGGGGTGAAGGAAAGAAAATTCAATGTTACGACGTTTCTTCGTATATAGTATATAACGTCGATCGACGTTAATTTCCCGTGTAAGTACATACGTACACCTTTCATCGTGTCTTCGGGAGCCACGGGAGCCGGTAAACGAGTTAACCGAATCAATTTCCCACGATAACGCGGGTCTTCGTACGCTCGTGAACGATGCCCACGACCAGACACACTTTCTCGAGCGCTATTCATTTCTTTCGAACGTAGATTTGAAAGTCGCAAGAAAGCACAGCCAACATTCGTAAACTCGTCGATCGGCAAAATTAACTCGGAACGATAGATTTCTTGAGAAAAGGATACAGAACGGCGACGGCTACCGTGATACGCAATGTCGGTAATTTCGAATTTAGTATCGATCGACGCGTTACCTTTGAAATTCAACGCGACCCAAACGATCCTATCGTTGTTCCTTTCGCAAACGACGTTTTCACTTTCAGGTTTTATCTACTGTTTCAAAGATGCACACAAAAAACGCACGCGTCACTGGACGTACAACTTATACCGTGTTGCAATTATACGGGTGCGTGTAATACCAGAGCTGGTGCCTCGAGTAGTCTTTTGCATCTTACGCAATATATGTACCATGCTATCGTAACTGAAGTCCAAGCAGTGTTTTTTCAATAGAACAATGTCGAGCGACGCACGCTATGTGCCGTCGCTGGTCTGCATCGCGCGTACAGAATACGATAAAATTAACGATAATAATAGTGGCTGTTTCTGTCGAGTAAACAAAAAGTCGGGTCGCGTGCTCGAAGGAGAGTAACGGTCGAGCGAGACTACATAGAAAGTATAATCTTTGAAAATTCATTGCCCGCTGCGCTCCGTCGCGTTTCTACCGTAGGAAATTGTATTAGAATCTTATTTATTTAGCTGGGCTTTCCAATTACAGGTTGTAACGCAAAGCGATCGCGGCAGGCATCGTTGATCGAAACGTTAATTGTAAATATGCGCGTCGCGTGAAAATTAGAACCGGTATTCGTGGTAAGTAAACCGGTCACCGGTAGACTTAAAAAATCGTTCGTTTTTGCTTCTCGGGAGAGATACGACATCTGGATTTTCCTGTGTGTTACGACGGCGTGTGTCTTGGTATCCGAAAGAATTTTTTCGGATAACAACCGGATCGAAGGAAACGTATCGAAAATGTCATGGATCGGTGTTACGCACGAATTCAACCTTACGCGTGGCTTTCGTAAAATTGTCACTCGAGCGGGAAACTTTCCATCCGCAGGGAACTTTGCGTTTCCAATGCGTAACGAGTTTGATTCTTCTTTTTAGTTTGCACACGAGAGCGACGCGATGGCGATTCAATCTTGCGATTCAGTGAAAACGAAACAATACGAGAATACTTACGTTTCGCTATGAATCGATGGAGAAACATTCGACACGTGTCTTTCAATGAAACGCAACGATATCACGATGTTTGTCATGATATCGACGGTTGCAAAAGCGATAAGAGAAACGATTGTTTACCGTGGCAGTCATTCGTGATGACTCCTCGATCGTTTCCCTGTCCGATGATTGAAAGATTAATCGAGTATCGGCCGGCTCGAGAGTAAAGATCAACTTTCTCGATCGACGATCCACTCGCATCGTCGAGTTTTCTGCGCGCGATTCGAAATCAAACGTTTCGAAACGAATGTTTAGGTCGAGTTAACGCGTTCGCGTCTAACGAAACTGGATACGCAGAAATAAATTGTTCCGACGGTGCAACGATGTCGAAACACGTGGAAGCAAAAGGTTAATTGATACGTATCGGGTTGGATATTATGATTACGATAGGACGGTCGCGGAACAAATGGGGCTGGCGCTCGCAACAGGTGGTGCGCCGCACCGTCACGTATATCTATACCTACACCTCGTGTATACGTATGTATGTACGTGTACCGTGTGTCGCGCTCCTGTAGAGCTTCCTACGTTCGCCGCGTACGATATCTTTTAAAAGATGCATTCGGTGTAGGGCTTCTGACTCGTATTAAAATTGAATTAAATAGACTTCGATGAGAAAAGTCGAACGAAAGTAAAGTTCGTCGAAAGATTGGAAAAACCATTATCGTACGAGCGATGCAAACTTGGCCTTAACGTATTCGAAACAGGTTTGAAAGTTCGTTGGATTTTTTGATATACGTACGCAGACTCGATTAAAAGTTGTCAGAGGTCGAGTGTCAAAATAACTCGAATGTCGCGAGAGAAGAACTCTCTCGACGCTGTCAAGATCGCGATGGTCTACGGCGCGGCGTTCTCGAGAATTCCGAGATTCGACGAAAGTCGAAACGATCCGAGAACGTTGTTGGATCAGGATGCGCGCGATGCGGCGTGGCTCTTCCTTTCCCTTTTACCTTTCTCGACTTCCTCGAGACTGGGTTCACGGGGGACACGGTGAAATCGCGGAGGTCGCCGGTACGTACTATCGCTATACCGTAATTAACATTAACGCGGTACGCGTTGGATTCCCTCCTCTCCGATCGCTCTTCGCTTTCCTTTGTACGCTAAATTTTTCACGCGTTGCTCTCGCCCGGCGTCATAATTTCTACGATTACCTTTTTATGTTTCGTTCGCCACGCGAGTCTCGATAATCGTCGGTGAAACGAATCGGCAACGGACGCAAGCTAAAATCCTAGCTAGACTCGTTTGCCGGCTTTTGAGAATAACTAACTACCTGTGTTCCTCGACGAGAAAGCAGTACCCTGCGCGCCAACGGTATTTATGAAAATACATAAGAAGGCATCGTGGCGCCGTTTAACCAAGAACAGAGGGAGTTTGCGTAAAGACAAACACGGTGTTACGCTCGAATACAGAACTCGACGAGATGCGTCGTTGGCTGACGACGCGATAGATAATTACAGCCATGGAACAAACGATAACTGGCATTTCGACGCACGCGAAACACGTTGCGTCACTAGCCATGAAACCATTATGGAAAACGAATCGTCGCGCGATAGCCACGAAAACAATCTATTCGAAAGTTTGCAGGGAACTACTTATGTTTTTACGGGATTCCTACGTTTAATTTTTCGTCGAGAACCGAACAAGAATAGGTGTACGAACGCGTTTCAGATTCGGCGAGTTCGCTGTAAAGGCAAACTTGCGTTTCGCAAACGAGAGAAAGATGTTTGTACTTTTATCGCCCGAAGGAAGTGACGGCACCGAATTCGAAACTCGTTCGCGAAGACCGCGCGGAAAGGCACGAGTACAACGCGAAACAAAGTCGGTTATTTTCTCCGCTCAACTTTCCCACACTTTCCATGCTTTGATCGTAGCTCGAAACACTCGAAACGTTAACGTCCAACTTATATTCACCGTCCGTGTGTCTACCGGTACTTTGTTCGAATACAGGCAGGTATGTATGTGTCTAAAAAATGAATGCGCCAACGGCTGTTCAGGACCTTATCGGTGTATCGCGATCGACTATGTACATACGTTAATATGTATTATGTAGTTTGGTGCGTGATCTTCTCGCGCAAAGGCCGCGAGGGAGCTCTGACCGTGTCGACCGAGCGCAGAACCGATCAGAAGGGTGTCTCGCCGACGTGAATCGAACGAATTCGAGCGAAGAATGATACTGTCGAGGGCGACCGGTAGTCGCGAGAAACACGAGTAAAAATGAGTTGTTCGATTTAAACGCACAGCCGGCGTAATTGCGCGCAACGGGTGGCGCAACGAAAGGAAACGTCGCGCGGAGCGGAGCGAAACAAAACGATTCTAGTATACCTCGTCGGTCTCGTGAACGTGAAGTAGATGAGTGGAGGCCATTAACCCTCTGATTGACCCCAGCATTCTCTTCTTAATCAGGCCAGCTTTTCGAGCACGATCCTTGGTCTCGGGTCCCGCCACTCCCGCCGCGGTTGCATCGTCTACCTCCTCGTTTTCTGTGTCGGAACAGGGTTTATTCGTGCCTGGGGAAACCGGAGTAGCGACGACACGTTCGTTGGTCTCGTCGTCGGAAAAAAGCTCGACATCGTCGCAGCTGCCTGTTATTTCTCTCGAGCCAAATGTATTCGTGTTCGTGTTCCTCTCAGCCGCACGCGTCGCGTTCTCCTCCGCGACAGAGGTCAGACCGAACTCCTCGACCCTGGTGATCGATCCCAACTCCCCTGTCCTCGCCTTGGTGAGATCGTAAGACGCGTGCTTACCGATTTTGCCGGTGGAGATGCTCGGGACACGGGCCTCGCCCCCGAGGGCACCGACTGCTTGCAGCCTCGCATGCTTGTTCACCACCTCGTTGATTCTCGAGGTCTCCTCGCGCAGCCAGCATCTCATTTTCTCCCATGCTTTCCCGAATCGGTGTTTCTGCAACTACGCGCGGCGCGATACCGATGAGTTCACGCGACGGCGGTATCGATCGGTTGCCATCGATCCGTGCGAGAACGCGACGCGAACACGGCGATAGACATTTCGACTGTTACTCTAGACGTAGACATTCGAACGAATCCGAAAACGAAAAATATTAAATCACCAAAGACGCGAAGAAGGGTTTTCGCTGCTATCGCCGTGTCCGATTCGATCGTGGTCGCTGAACGATCGGTGTGATTCGGGGCTAAATCGTGTGTCCACGATGTAGGTAGGTATTGTATTAAGATCGAGTACCTTCGAGCGTCCGATCCGACGAGTCGCCACGCTCGAAAGAGCGAAACCCGACATAGAAGCGATTCCCGCGTCGTATTCGTCGTTATCCGAGGTGCCGTAACTTTTTCTACCTGATTTCAACGATCTGACCGATCGTTTCCTCCGGTCGTCTCGGTCCTTTGTTTCGGCGGCCGAATCGATTTTCGAGATCATCGTCATTGTCGTCGTTTGTCCGATTACTTTCTCCAACGCGATAACTCGATCGGACGTACCGTCTAATGTAGCCGCTGACCCTGTCGGCGAATCGCTCGCGTTTCCGTGCGTCTCGTTCCGTACGAGTGCCGATTCCGCGTCGAATTCCTCCCGGATCGTGCCGTGAATTTCGTTACCACCGCTCGTCGTCGCATCTGCCTCGCCGGGACTTTCTACTACTTTCTCGGTTTCGATTTCGATTTCAGTTTCCTCGGGAACGCACGATTTCGAATTTCTCGGAAAATCGTACAGCTGACTTTGATCGTCGTCGTTCGTCCGCGTTTCGTTCGCGTTCGTGTTCGCGGTTGCGGCCCCGCCTGTCGCGGATTCATCGGAATCGGTGGTTCGGAGTTTCTCGTCCGCGTGTAAGAAACTGAACTCGATGGTCGGCACTCCGTCCTCGTCGGTTTTCACCGAAGAGACCGCGGTCAATTCCACGGTGTTTCTGTGCCGTTTCTCCTTGTCTCTGGGTTTGCTCTGCTCCAAGCTTTTCCCGTCGGAAAGATCGACGTTCGGCGGTTCGTTGTACTCTCTCCGGAGGCTTCTCGAGACCTCCTCGTTCTTCCGATAGAATCGTTCTTCTTTCGCGCCGGTCGCGATAACTTCCATCCTAGGATCGCCGGTTTTCTCGGGCTCGTCGATTTTCGTTACGTCCGAAAAGTCGCGACAGTGAATTATCACTGGCACCGGAACGTCGTACCAGATCGTGGACGAATTGTTGTCGTTAGCGCTGGGAACGGTCGACAACGACAAATTTTTCCCGGACTTGAAGGAAGCCCACGCGTGTCTCACCTCGTCCATTTTTCTCGCTCCGTGCGTATCTTCTTCATTGGTTCACCGTATCGTATTTTCCCGACGATTCCAACCAATTAGCGCCGCGAAATTAAAATAAACTAGACGACTTTCCCGATACCTACCTGTATGCTTGTACGCATGTTACGTATTTCGTTACCGATAGCGTCGCACGCTTATCGCTACGTATCGTGCCTACGCACATACCTCTAGGCACTTGTCTCTCCGCGAGGTTACGTTCACTTATCTTCGTGTAGATATTCACGAAACGTACTCCTTGTTTCACGAAGAAACGGACGAACCTTTCTGTTCTTACGACCGAGTACAGGTCGGACCGTCTGCCAGTAACGAGTTTGTAAACGATCCGAGTAGACTAACGTCGATAGGGTCACGCATTTCGTATCCTGCAGGAACGTCTCTTGTTCGTTTCGGTGCGAAGACGCTTCGTCGTAGACAACGTCAACGACGTGTTTATATTTCCATGATTTCGCCGCGATTCGCCTTTCGATCGCAGACGATCAACACCCGACACGGTGATTGCCTCGTTGCGGTGACTGCGATCCGTTCTCGAGTTTGAACGAATATTAAGAATCGTCTATCGAATTCGTGGACACGTGTCAACACGCCTGCGAGTGGTGAGTTCGCGACTGCACGGAGGAGACAGACCGAGGTTCGACGAGCCGCTTCTCACCGTGACAAATTCCAAGGTGTCGTGTGACGAACGCGACGACACGAGCTAGATCGTCCCACGAACGTTCGAGTTCGAATGATACACCGATCACGGCCGCGCCGATTCACCGGAGGCTGTCGCTCAACTTCCGTGTCCCAATTACGCAATTTATCGTTTTTCCACATTCTCTCGTCCCTCCACCGGTTTGCTCCACCAGGTGGTCTGACTGGTTACCGCGTCACCCCCCGACGCGACGATCAGTCGAGTAACATCGTCTGTTTAGAAATTAACTCTCGTTTCATGATTCTACATTGGAAACGCGATCGAGATCGCGCGTGAAATAGCAGGTAGGCGTACAGTCGACCGCGTTTACTTGGTTCGTCGCGTGCAGCGTAAAGTATCGACTTAAAAAAGAGCTATCGAACGCGGACGCACGGTTTCCGACCGAACGATCGACCGTTCGCGAATTACTGGTCGTTTCGTCGACGGTTCCGCGCGACGACGATCCTCGCGCATCGCGAACTAAAGCGCGTTACCGCTTCAAGGTTAATTATCCGAGCGCGCTCGCAAGCAAACATGCACGATCGCCGTCGCGTTCGAACGGCATTGTTGCTTCTCGCGAGCGATATTCAACGGTCGAGAGATACTAGAACCGCGGAAACGAAACGAAACGAAACGGACGACACACGCTCCGTGAACCGTGATGCTCGTGCGGCGACGTTCCAGTCGTGACTGGATCCACGCTGGAAGCCGTATTATACAACACCGTCGAACAATTATATCCGTATTATGTTGCGTACACGCGTATTGCACAACCGGGCAAACGGTGCACCGTACCAACGGTACGCGTACGTACTTACTCGACAAAAATCGGACACGAGTGTTTCGCCTGGATATTTCAATTGTATCGATGGTACCGTTCTAATCGTAACTTGTAAATCTTGGTTGCGAAACGCGTCGCTGAACTAACATCCTTAACGTGTCGTCGTCGGCGATTTAAAAAAACGCCCGTCGTTCGTTGTACGTCGAGGAGATTCGGACGGGTAACCGGCAGCTATCTTTCGAACGTTGAGTCGTGGCGTCTCAGCGTCGCAAAACTGTTTCTACATTGTTTTCCTTTCGCTCGGTAGAAATGACTTCGCGTCGTGAAAAACAGACAAGGTTCTGCACACACGTTTATAATTTATCACGAGTCGCAAATAAAAGGATACGTCGTGACGCGTATTGCTACCGAGGCGTACAGGTCTTCGTTGCGAACGGTAATTTATGATAGGAGGCGCGAGACGGAAGACGAGAGAGACGAGAGACACGAGAGACACGAGAGACACGAGAGACACGAGAATAGGTCGCACTACGTTAATTTTGCTAGTTTTCTGGTTATCTCTGGATGAGAGCGGTACACCCAAAATAGACGTAGCAGAGCAGAAATCGGAAGAAAATCAGTTTTCTCCTAGAATTTTATTTCAATTACGCGATCGATCGCGTTGTATGATCGCTTGGTAACGCTAATCGTTTGAAAAACACGGAGCGACCGGTTGAGTCACGCGGTCGCTCGTACGAACGAGAAAATCATTATTCTTTTTTACCGAACCAGCACCGTCACCGGCACAAAAGTTTCTTGAACACGCACGGAACGAAACGTTCGATTCACGGTTCGCGATCGACCGCGGAACGGCACAAGATTATTACAAGAACAACGAGCGGATGAAAAAACAACGCTCGGTGCGCCTCGGAATTTTGTAGAAATAAGTTATTCACTTGGCGATCGGCCAATCCTTTCGATCCGTGGATCGATTCACTGAATGGAAAATCACAAGGACACAACACGATGATCTAACCCGAACGATATGTCCGAAAAATCGAGTTTAAGTCGCCGGTATTTACTATCGCGCGTATCTTCGAACGAGAGGATACGCGTATCGGGATTAACGCGGCGGCGGCGGCGGCGGAGGCGGCCGTTTGTAACAGTGCGTTGCGTACACGGAGAGTCGCGAGAAAGAGGAGAAGCTCCAAATAAGAAACGACACGGACGAGGACGGAGAACGCGAAGAACGCGTAATACGGTACGGGTTGCGCTTCCCGCGGTCGGAAACGTAATGCATGTTGGACCGTGACGCGACGCGACGCTACCGACAGTGGATTAAGTATGTTTAAGCGAGAGCAACGCGTTTTGCGGTTCTAGGCGGGAGGCTGTTCGTTTTCTTTCTGGATTATATTTAGATTCCTTCCGCGACACTCGCGTTACCGAAACATGGTGTGCACGTGCAACGGTGACAGAGGCTCGCATGCAACTGTATCACCGAACTGAAGCCGACTCAAGCCGAACCGTTTCCCAAAGTTGCGCGCGTACAACCTCTCGCGACCGGTTGACGAAGTGGTATGTTGCTTACCTAATCAAAAGACTATCGACAACCGGACAAAAAAATCAATCAACGGTCAAGCTTCCAGACTATCGAAATTGTTCGATATCGACGATATATACATATATGTATCGGATACATGTATACATATAGGATAGGTATGTACAGGAATTTCAAACGATCCCGAGTCATTGGACGATCATTCTTACGAAAAATCTTGCACACCTGGCCAGACGCTGGTCGATCGTGTTTCGTTCCAATTTCGATCGCGTGCATCCGCTTTCACGAATAATTGAATTTTTTATCCAACCTGTATCTCTTCGGACAAGATACCTACTCTGGACTTTCTCGAACGTGTCGATTTTATCGAAAACCTACCGAGCGAATGCAAGAGATTCCACGGTTTTCGGCAACCACGCAACGTACGCATCGCAGTCCGCATTTCCGATGTTCGACCCTGTTCTCTCCGGAAGTACGAAGCTACGAACGTCCCGTGATAACGAATCTCGCCGATGTTCGTGTGCGGGCTTCTTATCGTCGGTGGAAAGTATTGCAATTTCTCGCTGGCCCCGAGTCCTCTTTTTCTTTACGTAACCGCCGATATATTGCATAGCACCGATAAAACGGAACTATCCGAGTCGAGAATGAAAGTTTCTGTCCGCGAAGAACCGTTCGATAATGCGTTTCGAGCATTCGGCGCGTCGAGCATCGTGCGTGTCCCTTCTGTGTTGGAACTGCTTGCGTGTGGTTGGTGTCGATCGAGCGGAAAACGTTCGTGATTTCGAAAAGTCCCGACCGATTAGTTAATGCCCGACAATTAAAGCAAATCTAGAAAACCGATCGGTAGAAAATTCTGACGCGAGACTCGAGTTTCGACCGTGATACAAAGGGAAGGAGAAAAACGTTCGATTCGCGAGGTATCGAACCGCAAAGATTAGATTCATTGCGAAAGAACGAATCGAAACGTCGAAACAATCCAGCGAGAGACCGCCGCGTTGTTTCACCGAACGATCGGATGGTACGTTTGAAAGGGGGATAGAGAGGCGAATACTATAGTGTTGCCGGACAGCCGAGGTGAATGAAACGCGCGTAATTCTTTGGGGAAAGAGAGAGAAAAGGAAGCCGAGGCGACGGAAGTGCGGTGTGCACGCTTATCCGGTATAGGAACCTTGCCTCCAGCCATGGACATGGACGGCCAGTTATACTATACCTGGCTGACCCACTGCTACCCCCGTTATAGAAAATACACGGCAGGCAGCCTCTCTTTTTATCGTTCGCGCGCTCGTTCGCGGTCGATCGCGCGATCTCGATTCACCGAGGAGACGCGCGTACCTATAGCAAGGTGTTCTTTCTTTCTGCAGCCTCGAAACCGACCATCGTCCAGCCATCCGTGTTCGTTCATCGATTTACTTGTTCGCGAAACGGAATTGTCTGGCTTCGAAAAGCTGAACGGTGTCGAATTTAATCGGATCGTAGAGAGTTGAAAACGAAAGAGACCGCTTTCAATGATCACAAACCGGGATTTATACAGTAGTATTCGAATGCGATTAGATATTAAGTCGAGTATATTAGGTGTGATCTATCTGATCTATGTGATCTGATCTTAAATACGATATTATATTGACAGTATCATAACGTACCGTGTTCGGTTGAAAACTCGTAAGCGTCAAGATACAATTGGAAGGCACGCGAATATAATATAACCGCTGATCTTAAATACGATATTATATTGACAGTATCATAACGTACCGTGTTCGGTTGAAAACTCGTTAAGACGCGTTTCTATTACTGAAAAGATGATGAAACATCATCAAAACTTGGCGACACACGAATGTCGTTTTAAGATTATGTAAAGCGATATAAAACGTGAACGAGTTTTATTTTCATTTCGGGATACGAGTCGTATTATACGACCAGCGTTCACTCGTCTCATTGTCAGAGTCGATCGTGTAATCTGCCGCAAGGGAGCAAAGGGAACGAAAGCAAGCTCTCGATCGCTCGATCACGCGATTCGAGCCAACTCCGAATGCGAACACGTGTTTCGTATCCGGCAAAGTGAACGGAACGCTGAGCGGACGGACGTACTTACGTACAACGAAAGGGGATGTACATATGTACAGTTTACCATACGCGAATACTTACGGCAAGATTCAGACCTGCTTTCGAACGTACGCAGCCGGAAAACCAGTGACACTTGGGACGCATCGTGTTCCTGCTATCCATTTTTTATCTCGATCGCCGTTCCAGTTCATGCAACTTTA